GAATATTATGACAAAAGGATTTAAATTCCAGATGACATCCAATTTGGGATTTTTCTCTGCAGAACAAATATGCAGCCGTCTTTCCTCCATTTTACAAAGCAGCCACCCACCTACTGTCGATTGCAACTCCTAGAGACCCTATAAGATACAGCAAACTGCCTTATGTAGGGTTCCCAAGACTGTAACTGTTGACAGGAGAAGGCAGCCTCATCTTTCTCCCACAGAGAGGCTGGTGAGTTTGAACTGCTGACCTAATTAATGATTAACAACCCCCAACTGAACATTACAGAGCAGAGAGTCTCTTCAGTCAAGGATCTTCAGCAATCCATTCCTCACTGCCGTCAGCGAACTCACTAGTAGGTGAACCTGACTTGGCATGTTCTTAGGTAAAACCCAGTAGGAGCTACCTACTCGTGTCTTCTGCTCAGGCTCTCCATTCCAGCCAGACTGCACTGTCTCCAGTTCCTCTGCATGTTAGACTCAGTCATTTCTAGACCTGGACACATGCTGTTGCCTCTACCTAGACCCATCTCTCTGTTCCGTAGTCACCTGGTACTGTTGCGTGATCCCATGTTATTATAATTGTTTAACTGTCTGCTCTCCCCATAGACAGACACTGTGGGGGCAAAGACCATATCTGTCCAGTTAACCTGCAAATCCCCAGAACTTAGTACAGCTGCTGGCACAAAGTAAAAAAACTGATTCATCCAGTTAGGCTTTGCCAATCGGAATGATTGGTGTGTCACTTGGAATGTCTGGAATAGACTAGGAAATGAAGACAAACAAATAATGGGCAGGGAGGATAAGGAGAAAGCTGCCTAAAAGAATTGGAAAGTGGGTACCCCTCCTTCTTTCTCTTCAGCTTCCCAGCTCCCAAACTTATGAGCAAGATCCATGGATTTTTTTTGTGTGTGTGCTGACCATGGCAACAGAAAAGACTATAAAATCTAGCTTTCCATCTGGTTCTTCATGGTCCAAGAAAATACAGCAATTTCAAACTCCAGGGAGACAACTTTTCAAATCATGAAAGCTTAAACCTAGCCTGTCGTAGAATCCCCTAAGACTAGCATGAATTTGACTCCAGAAGAAAAGTAGAGAAAGCATCATTTACTCTCTAAGGATTGATTCCTTGGTGGTCCTTGGAGAGGATGAGTTTGATGTTTCTTCATAGTGATTTTCCCCTCTGGCCTTCAAAGCCGACCTGCTCAACGCAACAGCTGGTCCTTACTTCTCTTCCTTTCTATTCCTGCCAATGTGCCCCTTATCCTGAGGCCCATCATCAGTTAGCACGCTGCAGCCTGGGTTCAAAGTGGAAGCCGGCCTTCCAATGGGAGCACTTTAACAGCTGTCCTCATCTGCTATTCAAAACCTGGCTGCTACTTCAATGCAAAGATGATGTGTTTGCTTTTTAACGTTTTATGTTAGGACCAGGTTAACTGAGAATCGCTGGTGAGGGATGAACTAAGAATTTCTCCTCCATTATCTAAGATCATCACGTGAGAAATTCAGGCTTGTTCCAGAGTCTGCGATTTTATTCCTCTGCCACCGACACACCTTGTTCCTGGCAGGAAAAAGGAGGGCAAAGGTTCTGAAAATGTAGATATAGGTTGGGCTGATGGTATTTGGGACCCAGCCATAACAGGGAATTTTCAGCAATGTACTGGAAGTGCCAACTCTAGAGAGGTTTGACAGCTGGTTTGAAGGCTGCAGGCAGTTTAGATAAATATATGAGACTTGGGTGCATTTCTGAGCCTGCTCTGTGATCCCTTTGAAGCATATCCAACTAGAATAGAGCTTCCAAAGAGCCAGGGCCAGTAAAAAGCCTTTCTTTGGAAGTCCCTCTGGATGCACTGTTGCTTTCCCACAGCCCACCAGGACAAGAGCTCTGGAAAGTAGAGAAGAAGCTTGAGACAGAAATTTTCTGTAATATTTTATTTGCTGTCTTTTTTCTTCTTCTTCCCAGTCTTTATACAGATGGAGACAACAGATAGATCATCAAACTCCCAGTGGACTTGGAGGGCCAAGAGCTTAGATCTGATTGTGGCTTGGAGCCCTTTGCACTGATGCTACCTGACTGGACTAAGATATACAGCGAAAGCACCACACAAGTTAGAATAACAACAAATAGCAGAAGGTGCCATTTGTAGTCCAGAAAGCCATTGCCTGAAACATCTCTGGAGAGCCATGGAATGGTACAGGCAGGAGGTTCCATCTCATTTCCTGGAGAAGCATTCCCTGGTTGCCTCAATCAGAAGCTGGAGCCCATCTTGCACAGCCTCTCTAATCAAAGAATTACTGCAGCATCAAAAAGAGATTCTGTGCTTGGAGGTGCTTCCAGGCAGAGGAATACATCTCAGCACTGGGTGAAATTTCCCAAGATGCAACTTGGTTTGGCTCTGGTCATACATGTAAGACGTGAAGGTGGGCAGGACATGGGTGGGGTACCAAACACAGGTTTCTTTAGGGAAGCAAATAGGGAGAGGCCTTTCTGAGCTAGAAGTGGAGTGCTCATATCTCCCATTGGCTCACTTGTGGGGTGTGCGGAGGCTGAGTGATACCCCTTCTTTAACTCAAGAGACATGGCTGTGACGGACAGGACACCAGGTCCTGAGGACCAAAGGATGACTCAGAAGCATCTGGAGAGGACAGCTGAGCAGCATCCCACAGCTTCATTGGCTGAGCACAGACCATGAGGGAGGTGCCCTTGCTGATCCTGGGACCAAATGACAAAAGAAGAAAGACAGGCAGATGTGGGTACAGCACCAGAGAAACCCCAGGGGAAGTGGGGTTGCAGATCAGTTTTTGGTTCTTTATTGTTAAAAAAAAATATTAACAGCAATGAAAAAATAAAAACATTAACAACCCATCACAGAGTCCTGGATACTTTGGCTATTTGTTTTCAATGGAGTCCTTCATCTAACAGTGAGTGGTGAGTTCAGCCAAAAGGCCCCTTCATGTTTTTCATGGGTGGGTACTGCTGTTCCACTGGCATGGCCCCAAAACAGTCAGAGGGGTTACAGTGGCCAGTCTTGCCCGGCTGGCCCATGGGACCTGGGGGCCCAGGGATGCCAGGGATGCCTTGCTGGCCCATTGGTCCAGTTGCACCCATCTTGCCATACCCTGGAGGACCCTGGGGTCCTAGAGAGGGAAGAGTCAGGGAAGGAAAAACAGGAGACACAAATCAGAAGCAATAGTGGTCATAATACATATGCCTTACAATTGATGGCTCTTTCTCAAGTTACAGTGTGCTTTCATGAAAACCTCACCTGAGCCTCACATTAATTCAACAATAGCAATACTACTAGTACCAGTATCATAGGCAGTGTACAGATGCCATGTCCTGGGCTAAGTGTTTTTTGTGCATCATTCACTTAATCTTCACAACAATGCCCCAAGAAAGGAACCATCATCGTATCCTGTAGATGAGGACTCAGGCTCAAAAGCCTCACATCTGGTAAGTGGTGAAGCTGGGTCTCAGAGTCAGTGAGCTTTGGTCATCTTATCAGAGAGCTGCTCTGAGGGGCTCAATGACCCCCTCAAGGCTACACAACCAGGAAGATGCTGAGCAAGACTGGAACTTGCATTCCCTGGCCCACAACCTGCTCAGCTCTCTTCCACTATCATGCTATCTCAGCTTAGGACTTAAAGACAGGGAATAGGCCTTCCACTTTCTTCTTCCCCCTATGGAGTCCTGGTGTGGTGCTGCAGGATAAGCCCTAGACCACTAACTGCAAGGTCAGCGGTTCAAACTCACCAGTTGCTCCTTGGAAACCCTGCAAAGGGTTTCTATGAGTCGGAACTGATTCGACAGCACTTAACAACAACAACATAGGTTCTAGCAGAATGTCTAGCACATGGTAATATTACTATACATGTTATTATTGATGGGATGCTTTATGGCTAATTATAGACAGAACATGAAGAAAGGAGTGCTTTGCTGCTCTGCACTTACTGCCTCAAACGCTGACTTTTCTTACCTGGGGGGCCAGGGAGACCACTTTCTCCTGCAATGCCAACACCAATGTCTCCCTTTTCACCTTTGGTACCAGGCAATCCTGGGACGAGAGAAATAAAACGCTTTATTCCTGGGCAGAAAAATGTCATGTCCATTTGGGATTATTTGAACCACACTCACACACCCACATAGTCACAACAGACTATAGGTAATGTTCATGTCTGTCCCAGAGAGCTCCGTGTGCCCCCCAGGAAGCCAGCGGGTAGAGAGGTACCTCTCATTCCTGGCAATCCCTGCCGTCCTTCTCTGCCAATCTGACCAGGGAGCCCAGGGGATCCTGGAGCGCCAGGCCGGCCGGGGACACCGTCCTTCCCAGGGGGCCCTGGTCTTCCTGGCGCTGCAGCCATCTCCACGGGGAACTGCATCCTGGAGGTGTAGTAAGTCATCCTCTCTGTCAGAAAAGACAAGGACAGCTCACAGTGTGTCCCAGGGGAAAGAAAATGACTGGAGATGCTGCAGAGAGGCCACTAGCATGGAGCCCAAAGCAGCCTTTATTTCAGAGGAATGTCAGGGTAAGGAATATGGGAGCTGTACTCCTCAGTGGGCTCCCGTGCCCCCATATCCACACTGCTACAGATGGTGAGCTTTCTGGAATACAGATCACCATCTCTCTTCTCAGCGCCCTTCTCAGGTTCACCACTGCTTCAGGATGGAGTCCAGAACCTTTGCCTGACATTCAAGGTACTTCCCAACCTTAATGTTGAGCTCCTTCCAGACAGGACCTGTGTTCATCCCAGCACTACACATCCCCATCGCAGCACATCAGGGTGGACTCAGTAAATGTCTAGAATGGTCTTACAAGGAGAACACAGGAAAAAAGCTTTAAAACCAACCATCCTACAGTTGTAGCTGCATGTCCCTCTATTTAGAGCTCATTTCATACTGCCTCACGTGGTGGCAATTGACTGGTCTTTCTGCTCTGCTCGAGTTGGGGCTTAGGAGGACAGGAAGGAATCATTTTATCTCTGAGCAGAGCAGGTGACAAGGAAGATCTGAAGTATAAGTGCACGTCTGCCTGCCAACTCCAGGTCTGTAAGTGTTTTCGGGGGTGGGAGTTGAGCTTTAAGGAAAAGGAAGCCAGGGTAGGGTGGAAAAGCAGCTGGGACGTGAAAATGGCACCTACTGCCACCCAGCCGGCTGACAATTACCATCAAACATTTTAATGATCTCTTGTCTGATGAACCTCTTGATTTCATCGTAATTCACCATGTCTCCCTGAGGAAAGAAGAAAACCTGTCTCGATTATCCTTCCAAGTCTGGTGCTTTCCACCTGGGAACAGATTTCCATCAATAGAAAGGATGGGGAGGGGGCCTCCCAGGAATCCTTAATCCAACATCCTTACCCGCTCCCAAAAACAGTACAAAACATCTCGTACGGAAGTGCATCTTTCTGGGGAGTGGTTCCCATGACCCCCCACTCTCTCACACTGTTAAGAACTACCATGATGGGATGATGGGCTCATGTCCTTTCCTGAAGAGCATCAGCAGGAGCTGACCCATGTTCCACCAGACAGGCCTGGCCATGAACAGTGCCCATGGCTGCCAGCCTTCTCCCTTACCATAGAGCCAGGCACACCAGGCAATCCAGGGTTTCCCGTTGGCCCCGGAGATCCAGGGTGACCTCTCTCTCCAGCAGGACCGGGTGGTCCAACAGGTCCCATGGAGCCACTCTTCCCAGGCCCTCCAGGCATGCCAGCTCTCCCCTTCTCTCCTGCCTGGCCCTTCTGCCCTGAAGGCCCTGGATCACCCTACAAGGACAAGAAGTCACAGTCCGGCATCACCAAGTACTGTCGAGTCTACCTCATGCTGTCTCTGCAGTCTGTCCTTCCTCTCCATCCTTCCTACAGGGATCACAGCATCTTCTCCTAACTGGATCACCGAACCCTGATGGCTTATCCGTCTCCGCACTGTTCCTAGAGCAGGTATTCTAGAAAACAGTTCTCATGGTGTTACTCCTTGCTTAGAAATTCTGATGGCTCCCAACTGCCTTCAGGATAAAGGCCTAATTCTTTGGTCAGACATTTAAAACCATTCCTGATGTGGCCTTCATCATATTTTTTCAAGCCTCCTTTCTCTGTCCTTTTGCCTCTAGTCATACCTCATGGATTATGATTCTCAGCCTCTGCCATGATGTAACACGAGTGGTTCCCTTGCCTGGGATGTCCTCCCCCACATCAGACAACACCTCCTACTCAGCTGCAACGGTCTTGTTCTTACACAGCCTCCCCTGGCTCTCAGCTAAGCTGCATACTCCTCCCCCTTTCTGGGTCCACAGTGCTGTCTAGTTAGTGCTGGTCTTTCAAACGTGACGGACTCTGGTGTAATTGGGACTGGACAGTAGTGAGCACCTAGTGTTTACCCATAACCAGGACAGAGGGCCTGGAATATAACATCAAATGGGTGCTTATGGAATAAATAAATGATTGCTCAATCAATTAATCAATCAATGAACTAGAGACTTTCATCCCCTCAACCACAGCTAAGAACCCTAGAAGAGTTTCATGTGAGCTTTCAGAGACAGGATTGTTTCAAGTTCTACCCACAAGCCTGCCTGCCTTCTCTCCAGGGCTACAGTCAAAACTCAGAGCTGGACTTAATTGATTCATGAACCTTCCCTCTCAAACCCAGGCAGTGTCCACTTACCTTTGGACCCGGAGGTCCATAGAGTCCCTGTTTTCCAGGGGGTCCCTAGAGGAAAGTAGAAGTCGGGGTCAAGTACAGGCCACCTTCTTGAGCCTCCCTGGGGAGGCAGGTGTCATGGATGGCCTACCTCAGCCCCAGGCCCCCAGGCTGACTGAGAAAGGGCAGCGTCCCTTCCAAGAGAGTGCACTGACAACCTGCAAGGGAGAAGGCTGTCCCCTGGGGCATGTTGGCTAGCTCCCCTGTCACAGATGAAGGGAGGTGAGAAGAAGTCAGAATGAGAGAGCTGGTCTGTGCTTGCTAATGTTTGTCTGGAGCTCATCATTCTCATAGTCTCTTTTGAACAGGGTACATGGCACAACATAGATAAAACAAGCCCTGCTCCCATCCTTGTCCCTTAGCCCCCAGTCGGCTGTATGTCTGTCCAGAGACCGTCTGTGCATGCTGACCAGATGAAGACGGGCCAAGGCAATGTACAGAACAAGAAGCAGCACCCCAAAGGAAAGAGAAGCCCCACACAACAGTACCTCTTTTCCAGCTGCACCTTCTGTGCCAGGCTCGCCCTGAGGAGTGAGAGAACAGGAGAGGTGATCAACTCCTGCCCATCTTAGGGGCACCTGTCTCACTCTGTCTACTGGGCACGCCCAGCCCCATGACCTGCAAGGATGCACCTTCCTGTAGCCCTCACCCTCTGACATGCTAGGCATGGAAACTTAGTCCCCACTCTAGTCCATGTCACCCCCAAGCCTGGTACCAGAGCCCCAACAGATGGCTCCTGGCTGGCCTCAACTGTGAGCTCTATGGAGAAGGAGCAGAATGTGACTGCCTTACTCCTTGCTTGACACCTCGGCCCCTCACATGCTCCCTGGCTCTGCATATATTCATATGCTGTTTGCTGAGCATACACATCAACAGTGAACAGGATGTCTTTGTCCTCCTGTGAGGTCTCGGAGGTTGGGCAGAGTGGCCCTGAACCTGTTCCCTCAGGACAGAAGAGGCTACCCCTTCTGGTGGGCTGCTGGGAAAAAGGATTCTGTGGCATGATCCTGGGGCGCTGGAGGCTCCTGAGCTTGGCGGCATGGAGGCTGGGGGAGTAGAAGATCTGCCCAGGACCTTTGGCAGGAATCAGAGTGAGTAGGAGTGGAGAGACTGGCACTCCTAGCAGACGGGGTGACCACCCACCCCCACACCAATCACCAGAGACCCTGCCTCGGCCGTCCCAGGAAACTTTCAGTCCTTAGACTGGCTATCAGTTCCATGTGATGTGGGCCACTCATCGGGAACATTTGAAAGTGGAAGTACTGCAGAGTGGCTAAGGATACAAGTCCTGGAAGCAGGCAGACTGGGGATCTAGTCAGAGCTCTTCCGCTCACTAGCTGGATGACTCTGAGGAGCATATTTAAACGTACTGAGCCTCAGTTTCTTCATCTGCAAAATGGGGACCCTGAGACCTACTATACAGGTTTCTGTACAGTTTATATGACAAATTGCACACTGAACACTTAGCCCACTTAGGTCCAACACGTGGCCCAAATCAAAAAGTCCATCACTATTGATTCTGACTCTGGTAGCGTAGTGGTTACGAATCGGGCTGCTAATCTCATGGTCAGCAGTTCGAAACAACCAGCTGTTCTGCGGGAGAAAGATGAGGTTTTTTGCTCCCATAAAGATTTGCAGCTTCAGAAACCCTGCGCAGGGTCGCCATGAGTTAGAACCGACTCCACGGTACTTAACGACAACAACATCGATTCTGACTCAGTGAACATATACAGGGTTTCCAAGGCTATAAATCTTTCTGGGAGCAGAAAGTCTCATTTCTCCCTCTGAGTAGCTGGTGGGTTTGAACTACTGACCTGCAGGTAGTAGTTCTGGTTATCCTACAGAGCCACCAGGGCTTCTTAACACATGGTCAGTGGCAAATGAATCGTAGCTCTTAGTATTAAACATGAGCAGAGACTGAGGAGAGGTTTCAGGGAAACTGAGATAGCTACAGCCAACAGAAATGCTTTCTGATATTTACAAAGGTTATCTGTTGTTGCCAACAAGCACCCCTGGGGAGGGGGCAGGGGCAGAATGGTGCCCACATCTTCTCTGTCCAATGAGGGATCGGCATAAGGCTGGGGTTGGTCCATCTCAGGGGTAGTAACCTTGTGTACAGCTGGCACAGTGTTTGTCTTTTCTTCCCAGTCAGATGTGGTTCTCAGCCACAAGCTCCATCCTGCCCTTTCGCCATACTGCCGGCCCCTGACTGCCTTACCGTCCCTGGAGAGCCCAGATCTACAGTGCTGAACTCAACTGGCAAAGCCAACTGACTCTTCCCCATGGAACTATGGTGGGATGGAAGGCCTTACCGGGGGACCAGGGTGTCCAGGTGAGCCCGGCTGCCCCGGAATGCCTGCAAGGCCTCTTTCTCCAGTGGCTCCTCTGTCTCCTTTCAGACCCTAGAAAACAGGAAGGGGGATAGTGAAGGGGAGGGGAAGAGGAAGGCTAGATCCCCATATAGCCAGAGGCAGACACCCCACCTCCAGGCCCCACAGGAGAGCTAGTACTAGCTGAACTTGCAGCAAGGTCCTGGGGTGGCCTCCAGCCTGAAGACCTTCACCACACCCCAGGTGAGGAGATCTTTGGAGACAAAGAGGAAAGGCACAGGACTGGGGGAGGAGGCAGATGGGACACTGTGAAAGGAGCCCACCGCAGATAACAAAATTCCTGGGACAGAGGGACGAGCATGGTACTCACCACTGCTGAGATCCCAGCTGGCCCTGGCTGGCCTGGAGGCCCTGGTGGTCCCTAAAGAGAGATGAGGCGATAGCATGGAAAGCGTCTCCAGAAATAAGGTCCCCAGGGTGTCAGAGAAGGGGGCTGAGTATTGGAGCAAGTCCTTAACTTCAGCAGCTCCAATCTCTGCCCTTAACCATCCCTTCCCTTCTCGTCTTGCATTTGAGCTGCTGCCAGAAGATTTATGCCCAGATACCAGGGCTGCGAGGCCCTGAACACACAGGACTCTCACTTCTCCCATCTCCAGGGCCCTGCTGTGTGGGAGCCACAGGCCAAGCACAGAGGGCAACCGCCAAAGAGAGGTAACTAGGTAGACCTGATGTCTGCTAGAGGCTCCTGGATTCTTTCCTAAAGGCAGGCAGCTCTATTTCCTTCCTGTTCTGTGGGAGGAGTGAAGACCAGGAGCTATAATGAGGGACAAGGACCCCAGTGTCCTCGTGGATAAACTCTAGGGCCTGTCACCAGGCCCTCTCCGCTGGTCTCCTACTGCCCTCTTAAACTTGAGAATAATGAGACTTGTGATTTGTCAAAAACACCCAGGACTGCTTCCACCCAGCCTGGGCTAGGGCTGTCTGAAATGCCACTCTGTCAGCCTCTACAGCCATGGTCCATTTTCTTGCCTTTAAGTCACAGCTCACATGTCCCCTCCATTCTCTAAGCCTGAGGGCACTAAATTCTTTCTCAGAGCACTTCTCCCCATATTCCCAGAATGCAAGTTCTCTAAGCCACAGACTCAGATCTACTCATCTCAGATGTCCTAGAGTGGAAAATTCCAGCACTGGGCAGCCAGAAGGGAAAGAAGGAACCTTGCATCCACTTGTCCTTAGCCTCTCATGGGACAAAGTTCTTAGTGTGTAATCCTGGACACATCATCCCCTTTCAACATCTGTATGTAACCTGAGGGGACAAGGCTAGAGCTTAGGTGACCAATTCAGGGCCTCTGGACCCCTTGGGATATGCAGAAGTAGTAATGATGACTGGAAAGTCACTTTTATTGGTCACAAGCTACTCTTAATATTTCAAAAAGCCTCCTGAAAATGATGCAGCCAGCCACATGGGGGCTGCAAAAAGATGCCAGGGGATTATTCAGCTGAGTGAGGTCATACTGATCAAAGGCATCAATTGGCAGTTGTCTATGTTACTGATGAGTAAAGTGGACAGGAAATTATTGCTTCATAAATGTCCTCTCCAAGTCACTCTATCTCAGTAAACAACACCACCCAATCACCCAGTGGCCCAAGCAAACACAAGAGTCATCTTTGAGCTCTCTCTTCCCACCACTTTCTCCCTTCCACCCTCCCCATTAGCAAGTTCTCTATCTCTAAACACATCCTGACCCTGGTCACTGCTCCCCCGTCTACTACAACTGTCCATCCACTTCGGCAAACCTTCCTAACTCATATCTTTGTGGTCAGTTGTGTGACCTCTCTCAAACTCCTGACCACACCCTGGAGGCCTCACACAATCCCCATCATGTCCTTCTTTCTAAGTTCACCTTGCCCCTTCCCACGCCCACTTTCTCACACCATGGCTCCAACCACAGTGGTCTTTTTGGGGTTCCTCAAGCACATCACGCTCCTCCCTGCCATGGGCTCTTGGGGCCAGCTGCTCCTCTACATGTTACTCAGTCATTGGTTCCATGTCTCACCTCAAATCAGAAGTCACTTCCCCAGTAAAGATTTCTCTAGAATTGCCTCTGGGTCCCTCCCTGTAGCATCCTATCATTGCATGATGTCTTTTGCATTGGTTTATTGGTTTGTTGTACTCTTTAAGGTCAGGAACTTGTCTCCCTTACTCATGCTGCGGCCCCACTGTTTGAAATAGTACCTTGTGGAGAACAGGTGCTCAAGAAATACTTGTTGAGTAACTGAATGCCCTTTGTTGGATAAGTAAACTCTATTGTGCACAAAAAAATAAGAAAATGGGGGAAAGGCACTGGATCGGATGGGTTTGGAGTCCCTTATCGAGTTCCAAGCCGGCACTGCTCCTGGATTGGGTTCTTTCAGGTCATTACCAGTTGCCCGCCCCCACCTCACCCCAGCAAGATCCTAATTCCCATACACAAAGAGAGCAAAACAATCAAAACCATTCAACTCACGAGATGGCCTGGGGGGCCGGGTCTTCCCTGGGGTCCCATGGCACCAGGCTCACCCTGCAAGAACCCAACCAATAAATTACTAAGAAAACAACTTACTCATGCACTCATGACTCTTCAGCAGGAAAGGGCTAAGCAGAGCAGGTGGGAAGTCTAATGGGGGCTTTCTAGGGTCTGAGGAGCTGGCCCTGCTACATGAGTATTGCTTTGCCTTTCTAGGTAGTGACTCAGCAGAGGAGGTTCACCCCGAAGAAGAAGAAGGGGCTTCAAGATGTGTACTGTTGGCTGAAACACCCCCAGAAGGCCAAAGGGAGAAGGCTTACCTCTGCTCCAGGCCGGCCACTGCTGCCAGGGGGACCTGGTTTACCACACTCACCCTGGGAGACAGAAAGGCAGCTAGAGCTTGTTAGACCTCAACTGGGCAACCCCCCACACCCTAAGTACCCCTCACATTGGAGGGACCTTTCCATGTGATAGGTAAGATACCATCTGATGCCCTCAGGTAAACAGACGGACAAGCCCTGGCCCAACATGCTAGACACCAGAGGCTTTGAGAGGCTTGGATGCCAGGTTGGCATCTCAGGCAGAGTCAGGTGACACCTCCCTCCATCCAGGCAAGGCTGCCAAGTCTGTCTGGGCTCAGGCCTCGTAGAGAAGAGAGAACCTGCCTGACAGAAGTCGCCAGGCCTTACCTTAGGTCCTGGAAGGCCAGGATGCCCTGTTTTCCCTTTGAAGCCCTGGAAGGAAAAGCAGGACACTGTCATGCTTGTCTGTCCCTCAACAACCAAAGGTCTCTCCCCACTTCCCCCTCCTCAGGTTAAATCAGTCAAAGTCTTAACATGATATCCCCAGAGCCGCCTACCCACTCAGGCAGAGTCTGCAACCTCTTAGCCTTTGAGACTACCAAGCTCCCAGCTCCTTCCTACAGCTCAACTTACCGGAGGTCCCATGAGTCCAGGGGGGCCAGCGAGACCAGGGTCCCCCTAGGGGAAGAGACCAGGAGCATTGAGGCAGGTTGTACCCAACACGTTCACTACTTATTTTCTTCCCCTTTCTCCAGCCCTCTGCCCCCAGCTACCCTTGGATGGTGGGAATATCATATGGGACAGGGGCAGAATCCAGGACTGGCTCAGTTTCTGACTGGCTGTGGATTCTGGCTAAAACCTGGCCTGAGTTTTTCTTCTTCTAGGTACAGAAGGGGTTGAACTTGATGTTTGGCCCTTTGCCATGGCCTCACACCTCTCAGGCTCCCCAGCAAAACCAGACCTCACGAGCCAGGGCTTGTTCAAGCCCTTCCATATCTGCAGCCTGACTCTTTCTGACACATAACTTAGTTTCTTTGTCTGCCTATATATCTGGGTATAAATGTTGCCCTTCACTGTCCTGCCTTTGGTGAAGCCTCGCCTGCACTTCCAGGTTAAAGCTACCCAGAGAACTACAAAACCAAGCGGCTCTGGTACCATCAGGGAGGTAGGGTATGAAGCGAGGCAGATGCAGAGAAGGTGTGGGCACCACCTAGCAAAGGTGCAGAGGGAGGCACTTATGGGCACCCTGACTTTGGCTGCTAGAGAAAGAAGGGGTTGCCTGCTCCCCAGCCATCAGCTTACCCTCAAGCCAGGCTTGCCATCCTTTCCATCAAGACCATCCAAGCCGGCAGGGCCCTGGAAACAGAAGAAAGAATTTCTGCATGCCTGTGCTGGTGCCCTAAGAAAGGGGAGGGAGGGCTGACCCAGCCCCACTCAAATCTCTCCAGCCCTCACCCAACTCCCACCCTAACCAAACACACACACGACATACACATGCACACATACATGCACATACATTTACACCTGTGAACTGCACAGCACATGCTTGCCAGGCTAAGAGGACCCATACTTACCTGAATCCCAGGAGGTCCTGGTGGCCCAGGAGAGCCAGGCATGCCTGATGGGCCTCGAATCCCTTCGCTGCCCTGAAAACCAGACCCCCAACATAGTCAGCAGACCTTTGACCCTTCTGTGGGGAGGCAGTCTGGTGATACCAGAAGTTAGGACAGCTGGCATTTAACTCCAGTTTTGTCCTGACCTAACGAGGTAGATGACCTACACCCCCCAAAGATCTAATTCATCTGCACAGAATCTCCTTTCCTGGCTGCTCCCTGGAGAAGGCACAGAGCCTATTCAGTCCATCATCTTCTACAGGGCTGACACTGGCCCTAGCTCAGGATGCTCAGCAGTGTGTGAACTGATGACATTCAGTCATACTGGTCCCAGTAACCCATCAAACACTGTGTGGGCTAGGACATCCCTAAGAGGAATAAGGAAGGGGAGTGATGCTGTTCTCCAGGAATGCATGGTCCAGTGAGGGTCTCAGTCCCACCACAGTCAAGGGCAATGCTCCCTGAGAATATGGGACTAGGCTAGGAAGTGTCACTAGATGCTAGACTCAGAAGGATTGGGGCAGGTGAAGAAGGAGACATGGAGTACCAGAGGCAACCACAGAGAAAGGATAACAGTTTGGAAATGGTAAATTGTCTGATCTAGCCAGGGGAGTTGGTTGGGGGTAGGTTGGGGGTGGAGGTAGCAGAGGAAGGTGAGGAGGCTGGGGGGATTCAAACATCATTGGGAAGAGCTCTAAACACTTCACTGAGTGGACCAGTAGTTTTCAAACTGTATTCAGAGCACTGGGCGTTCCTGAAAGAGCCTGGAGGGCTGGCTGCTACTGTTGTTGTTGTTAAGTGCCGGTGAGTCGGCTCTGACTCATAGTGACCCTGTGTAGGATTGCCAAGGAGCAGCTGGTGAGTTTGAACAGAGTTCCACTTATACAAGTTTTATAAATTGGGTTTTCATGGAGTCTGTGAAGGCAGAGCTCAGGACTCCAAAATAAAGTCTGAAAGTCACCGCTATAGGCACCTGGGAGTCACTGAAGGTTCAGAACAGTCACTGAAGGTGATAAGAACAGATGTGCACATGAGAGTGTTCACAGAAGGAGGGCGGGTAAACAGGCCAGTGGGGAGAGAGACGCCTCCCTGGAGCAGTGGCCAGGGGAGTGGTTGCCTCTTGAAGACATCCAGTAACAAAACGGTTGTAGGGTAGGGAGGTATTGCAATGCCACCAACCACCAGGAGGGGTCAGCACAGTCTCAGGAAATGTCACCCCCCGCCCCTGCCGGGATCTGGGACTGCGCACTCCTGGCCAGATGTTCAGGAGTCTCTGCAATGACCAGGTGAAGGAGAGCAGGCAGCCGTGGCTCTGTAAGGCCCAGAGGGCTCCAGCAGGGGTGGTCACCCAGCCCCTACTGGTTTCACCATGGCTGAGAGGCCCTAGGAAGGCAGTGAGGGGCCCCAGGGCTCCCCTGGGCCAGGAGGAAAGTCTCAGCTCTTCCCCTAAAGGTGGGTATGCACCCACGGGCTGTCCTGGCCTCTCTGGGCTCCTTTCATCACTGAACAATGAGAAATCAGACCAAGAGGGCCCTTGGATTCAGAAACCCCAGCCCTGGAGTACTGGGAAGTGTGTGTGTGTGTGTGTGTGTGTGTGTGTGTGTGCGCGCGTGTGTGTGTGTTTGTGTGTGTGTGCACGCGTTTTCCAGGAACAAAGCTTCCCACCATGTTGCTGGCCTCCTGCTCCTCCCTCTGACTACAGTCAGAAGTCAATATTGGGGGCATTATCCCCCATCACCAACCTCCATCACATTGGGGAAGCCCAGCAGTTGAGCTGAGACAGGGATGTGAACTGCAAACCCAGGCAGAACGCATTGAGCCAAACCGGGGGCAACCACCTGGAGCTCCTTTCTACCTTGTCACCAGATTACAAACCACCCCCTGCCCTTTCTGGGCCCCTTGGGAGACCCAGTCCCCTTCCAGGCTGGCTTCTTCCACTGTAGTTAGACCTAGAAGACAAACACCCGATGCTCCCTCTAGCATGGGGCATCAGGGGCATTATGGGCTCTCGGTCCATGGGCTTCCCTCCTTCCCTTTCCTTGCCCTCCCCGTTGAGGAGGTGAAGTTGACCTGAGCTGGCCAGTTCGAAATGCATTCTAGTTGTCCAGCTCCAACCACAGCCTCTGCCTCCTCCCCTAGATGCCCATGAGGCAGCAAGCAGGCATGCTGGGCCCAGCTCCCATCCCCAGGAACCCATTGGTCTGCCCAGCTCTTTGCCTCAGAGCCTGTCCTGACCATCTCTTTCCCCAAGTCAGTCTTTGAAGTCCCCGAAGGTCTGAGGCAACAGGCTGAGCAGGCACGAGGACTCAGATCACCCCTTTTGGCCAGCTTGGGGTTCTGCTTACCTTCTCTGCTTGGGGCCCAGGTGGGCCAGGTGCTCCAGCCTTGCCTGGGAATCCCGGGGGACCCTTATCAACAAAAAAGCAGACAGGAATGAAAGTAGGGTTTGAGGAGGCAATTCCCGCCTTCCATCAACTTGATTCCGACTTCACAGCGACCCCATGTGGGCAGAGTAGGAACTGCTCCATAAGGGTTTCTTTTTTTAGTGTGAGTTGGATGAACGTTTACAGAGCAAATTGCCATTCCATTCAACAGTTCACTCACATTTTGTTTTGTGAGGTGGATTGCAATGCCCACTTCCTTCCTGTGTTTACCATTACCTTTCATCCTTCTTGTCTATCTCTTTCTGCCATCTGAGTTTTACCCCCTGGACAAATGCTGCTGCCCTTGTGATCCCATTTGGTTCATTGTTCTAAGGAGTGTGTACCTCCCTGGTGTTAACTGGTCACTTTATAAATCTGTCCGTCGTCTCACTAGAAGTTCAAACACAGGAGTGAGCTCAGTTCCAGGTTTGAAAGGTGTTTGAGGGGCATAGTCTCAGGGGTCCTGCCTGTCTTGATCCAACCAATAAGGTCTTTTTTATGAGTTTGAGTTTTGCCCCAAATTTTTCTTCCACTCTGTTCAAGATTTTGTAATGTGATCCCTCTCAAAGAAGTCAACAGTGGTAGCTGGGTACCTACCATCTAGTTTTTCTGTTCTCAGGGTAGTTAAGGATGGGGGGTTCCCATGGTCCACTGGTCCTTTGGACTAAGTATTTCTATGCATCTTTGATTTACTTCACTTCTGTTTTCCCCAGACTGGGAGAGACCAAGAGTCACACCTTAGATGGCCACTCCCAAGCTTTTAAGATCCTAGTTGCTACTCACTGAAGTAGGCTACGGAAGATTGCCTTTGTGAACTATGTTATGCCAATTGGCCTTGATGTTCTCCAAAACTTTGGGCCTGAGCCCCCGGGGCTAGCAACTCATTCCCTCCAGGTATTTGATAAGGATAGCTACCAGTAATGACTTTTGTGGTGTCTCTGGGTGGGTTCATACCCCCAACCTTTCGGCTAGGAGTTCCACAGTTGACTATTTGCACCACCCAGGGACCCCCTCTGTTTGTGTTACACTGCTGCTAAAGCGCTGTGGTTTTGGACTTCTTAGAAACACCACCAAGGAGCTCTGGGTTTGGCTCCCAGGCCCACCCAGGAGGTCCTGCTCTCTAGGTCTTGGCTCCTGGAATCAGGCCTGACCACCCAGGCCGTCTTCCCTGCTTCTTCCCTCCCTTCCTTCCTCAGGCCCGTTCTCGCCCAGTTTGGCCTGGTCAGGCCTGCAGCTCCTCAACAGGATCAGGTCAGACAGAGCCTGCTCTGTGTCTCCACTCACCGGTGGGCCTGGAAATCCCGGCTGGCCTTGAAATCCCTATGGGAAGAAGCAAAGGACAGTTTGCCTGGCTGCCCAGGTGGAAAAAGTGACAGGTTTCATCAGCCCCAAATCCTCAGCCCGGAGACAGGAAGATAGCCCAGCCTTCTCCTCGGCCTAAGAAGGCGATGCTCTTGGCATACAATAGGAGGTTACAACTCCAGGATGGGTGGGTACAGAGGTTTGAGATGGTTATCCCCTAACTTATATGAGGGTACCCCAGGGCAGAGAACCCAGCCTCTTCCCTGTCACTCCTCAGCCACCCACCAAGGTCAGGACAGGCAGCCAGTCACTCACTCACCTGGTCGCCCTTCTCTCCCGAGTTGCCTTGAGGTCCTCGCTCACCTCGGGGACCCTGTCACCCACAGCAAGAACTCAATTTTCCTTCTTTCAGATCTTGGGGCAGGACCAGGGGTCCCCATGCCACATCTCCCTGCCCCCTCCCCTCACTCACCGCGGGACCTTGGGGACCTGGAACGCCTTCAGATCCTGGGGGACCCTGGGGACACATAGGAGAAGAAGCAGTCACTCTGGCTGATATGAGGGGACAGGGGGTGAGGCACAGAGCTGAGGCAGGGAATATGGCGGAGGCCCCTCTGAACCAGCAGGGCCCGGGCCCTGACTGACACAGTCTCCTCTCCTCAGAAGTGTCACCACTCCCAATCAGCACATAATGGCCACCTTCTTTTCCTTGGTGCAGCTCTGATTAGAACACTGTTGTGTTCAAAAGCCTTCTTGGGCTCCCTCTGTTAGTGGAACAAGGACCTGCTCTCCACCAGTGCTGAGTTGTCATTTGACGCCAGTCGCTCACTCCTGTTTCATATCCCTCTCCCTTTCTTGTCTTCTGCCTTGATTGGGTCAGAATGCACTGCTCCCTGAATTTACTCTATGAGCTCACAACTCAGAGTCTTTGCACATGCTGCCCCCTCTACCTGGAGTGCCCACTCTTCTCCCACCCTTCTGGTCTCTTGTTGTTGTTAAGTGCTGTCAACTCACTGACAACTCACAGCAACCTTGTATAGGGTTTCCGAGGAGCGGCTGGTGAGTTTGAACCGCCGATCTTGTGGTTCAAACTGACCTTGTGGTCCAGCATATTATCCCACAGCACTACCATCCCAAATTAGCAGACAATTCAGGATGGTCTGTGCAGTGCCCCCACCCATGGTCTCTCCCTCTGGAATTCTCCAAGACACACAACCACAAGACTTCCTCCCTCACTCTACTCAGGGCTCAGCGCAAATACCTCTCCAGAGATGCCTTCCTGACACGCTATCTAAATAGCACCTTGCTCGCAGTCCCAGTCTCTTACCCACTCTGCTTCCTCCCCTGGACTTCTCTCTCATGATTCACGTGTGATTTTCTATCCATCTACCACCTGCCGCCCCTCCTAGAATGGGAGCTCCCTGAGGGCAGCAGCTCACGGGGATTGTTCACCACAGTGTCTCCAGAAGAGAGCCTGGCTCCCAGTAAGCCCATCAGAAGCACTGGTTGGTTACTTAATAAATACATGACACAGATTGCTAAATGCCACTGCAGACTCACTGAAAGGTGAGACTGATCCCAATCTGGCTGACTCCAGATCTGAGATTTGTCACTTCAGATAAACCCAAGTGTGTGACAAGTGTGTCACCAGATGGACTTGGGTTCAAGTCTAGGCTCTAAGTAGCTCTGGGATCCTAGGTGAATTACGTCACCTCATAAGCCTTGGTGCCCATGTCTGATAATACCCCCAGCTGCTGTGCTCAGCGTGGGGTGACCTGCAGGCCTGAGGCAGAGCCCCGTTGAGAGTCCAGCCCTGGCTTTCTTGCTGGCTTGCCCGTCTGCTGGCCTTTGTAGGAGAGGAGGAGATTCTCTGCCAGCTGAATCCTAAACCACCCCCTTCTTCTTGGCAACCCCGACCAGCCTGTCTCCATGAAACCTGCTGGGATTCTCCTCACAGCTTCTGCCTCCGCCGCAACCACCCAGCGCTGACTGCTTAAGACGCAGCTGGAGCTACTCAGGGGGCAGGGGAAGCAGGGGTCATGGTCTCCTCCTTCACAGGCGGCTTGGAAAATCTCCAGTCTGCATTGGCGGAGGCTCCCTTTGAAACCCTTTCTGCCGCCCCCACACTGAGCTTTGACTCACCGATTCTCCCTTCTCTCCTGAGGGCCCCACGTATCCCCGCTCCCCCTTGATGCCCTGAGAAGCAAGCAGAGAGAGAGAACAGTATTAGTCCTGTGGCTTGCCCTTCACGGAGCTAATGTGAAGGGTGGGGACTGCAGCTGGCTCCCAAACTGGCACTTAGAGGCAGATGACACCAAGGAAGTGGCTGGGGGGGCAACAAGGTGGGCTGCTCTGAGCACACCCCTGTGGTTCCACCTGCTGCCACCAAGGCCTCAGTGGACAGTAAAGACACCCCCACCCATTGGACTCTGTGAGGAAGTGCCACCTCCATGCTGTCTCCCCAGCTTTCCCAACCCACCAGATGAGCAGATTTCAGTTCCTGCCACATCTGGGCTTCCTGAGTGCTATACAACATGCAGCGGATGGAATGGGCTCCCCAAAGTGGAGTGGTGGGACCAGGTCACACTCCCAAGGTGACCCCACATAACCACAGAATGGGTGGCAAAGGCATAGGCAGAGAGGGAGGTGGGCTTGGAGGGTGTCTGCTGATGACTCCCAACCACACCCCCAAAGCTCTGATATCCACAGGGTTAGATCCCTTACTTACAGGCAGTCCCGGAGGGCCCATGGCACCTGGGTAACCTGGCTGCCCTGGAGGACCCTGCAAAGAAAAGCAGGCAGAATGGATCAGTACCACACTTACTGCCCCCAAAGAGGTCTGTTCCCACCTCCATGGGCAAAAGGACGCCAGAGATAGTACACCCACTGTGGTGCCCACTTCCCCAAGGCCCAGGTTCCTGAGCTGTGACCACTACCTTAGTTAAGGCCTGGGGCTGGGTGGCAAGTACCAGCATGGGCACTAAGTGGAGGAGACAGCCAGGGCATGGGGTAATAAGGACCAGGGAGGAAGATGTGGGAGAGGCAGGAGAAAAGTCCCAGGCATGCAGGTGGAGGGCAAGTGACAGGGAATTGGGCACATGGAAATCAGCCTCCCTTGATCCTGAGAGAACCAGGACTGAGGAAAGAGCGTCAGTAAAAGGAATCTCCCCGTGCCCCCACCCCCACCCCGGCCCAGTGCCTGTCTCCCAGGCCTCATCTTCTCTCTCCATCCCCACAGACTGCTTCTCACCGGTTCGCCCTTGTCTCCTGTCAGGCCCATGAGGCCTCGCTCTCCTTGAAGACCCTGAGAGAGAAAAATCATGAGAAACTGCAGGGCAGACAGTCCCCACCCAGGCCCCGACTTCTTCTTCTGCCTGCAGCTCTCTGTTCCCACTCTAGGAGAAAGTGGTGGTTGATGGTGGCCATAAGGTGTGTCCCAGAGAATATGTCTCAGGCAAGTAACTGTCATTGGCATACCCTACTGTCTGGGGTGCACGGTTCAAAGGTGTCAGATGTGTGCTCCCCCTGAGGGGCAACTGTCAGGACAGCAATGTTCCCCACCAAAATGTATCACCAGATAACCAACACTTACCTGTCCAAGCCATCCCCAAACCAAAACACATCTTCTTTTAGGGACAAAGGGAGAGACATGGGAGGGCTGTCTTCAGAGCAGTTCCCATCACTTTGTGGGGTTGAAGGGATCTCAATTTCCATCAGAGCTAGGGCTCCCACCCTCATTCCTCACCCTGGTCTCATCCATTCACCATGCCTTCAAGCACACCATGTCTGCCCCTTCGCCCACTTGCCCTTGGGAGACGGCGCCCACACCTTTCCACAACACAAGACAGATGGCTAGACGGACAGATGGCCCCTTCACCCAAGCAAGCAGAAACAGACAAGGTCCTGCCAGAAATGAGGATGTGGGGACAGATGGAGCTGTGACAAGGAGGGGCCCTGCTCCCTGAGCCTCCATCACCAAGCCTGGGAGGAGAGGAGCCAGGCCCCGGAAACATACAACCCGACAAACAAGACCCAGAAAGGGGACAACAGTGAGGACAGGGGTGACTTAAACACACCAGTGATGATGACAAAGGCAGAGCAATTAATGACACCAGCAGAAGGAGTAGGCCAAGGTGCCAGGCACAGAGAGCCAGGGCCCCATGACAACCCAAGACCCCACTGGCTGGTATCATGTCCCCAGCTTTGAAGCAATCTGGGACTGGAACCAAGGAAGAGGAGAAGAAGAGGAGGAAGCTGAGACTTTCCTGGAGGATGATGGGAAAGGTGCAGGTAGGGCTACCTGGGGTGCCTCTGGCCAGCCCTGCCAAGCAGCAGAGCACCGAACCTGTGCCAGCCTGCAATGTGAAGCTCTAAAGCTTTGGCATCACTGCTGGGCTCTGGGCCAGGTACCTGGCAGGGCCCCAAGAACTACTTTCAGCAAATCTTCAGTCAACACCAAAGGTGGGAAAAGCAGGAGGGATAAGTGAGAAGGGGAGTAATAAAGGGACCCCAAGAGGCACCAGAAGGTAAAGCAGTTTGGGAGGATTTAGGGGAAATGATGTGGGATTGTGGATCAGAGGGAGGGAAAGGGAAACTGCAGTGGGTAAAAGAGAGAAGATGAGAGAGAGAGGAGGAGATGGAAAGAAGTCAGAGACTGGGAGAATACCCAAGCTGCTGGTACCTCAGGGAACCTGTGTCATTAGCTACCTTGCCTGAAGGGGGACAACGAAACACATGGAGGAGGGAGACAAGGCCACACCAGGAAGGGAGACACGCGAAAGCCACAGAGACCTGGATGGCGGGGGGCAGGGAAGCTGAGCAGCACTAGGTTCTTACAGGCAATCCGGGGGAGCCAACGGCACCAGGAAAACCTGGGGGGCCCTGGTGGGAGAAACAGGCAGGTCACATCTCACAAGCACAGTAGCATGGGCAGCCTGAGGCTAGGAGTCACAAGAAGAGGTGGTCATGGGAATATTTTTCAACGTAGCTGGAAAAGAGACTCGTTGATGGCTAGGCCCAGAAGACCTTTGCTCCTCGCTCCAGGAAGAATGGCTCATCAATCAGCAGAGATGGGAAACACGCTTAAAGTCAAGACAGTTCTTCTGCTTCCTCAGGCTAGCAGAACACCCTCACTGGAGTGGAAACCCATTTCTTTCTGTCTTGTCCATCATGCCTGCCACCTGACTGCCCTCCAAATGTCTCTAAGATGGCTCCTACCAGCCAGTTTTCTACCGAGACGGCATTTCATCTCTTCCCATCTTTCCTACTCCTCCTATCTGCTTTCCTGCCATATCAACAGGACAGAGCACTCCAGGGCCAATGTCCTGGTCGGATGCTTCTGGTCTGACCTTTGTAGATTTGCCTTGAGCTGACCCCTCCAGAGAAGGGGAAAGCAAGTCCATCTTAGCCCCTGGACCCTGTAGGGACTGGTTATGGGGGCATGAAGAGATCTGGCCAGACTGCCACAAGTCCCCCTGGCTGCTGAGACCACGAGCCAGATGCCTAACTTTCCTGTCCAGCGTAGCCTGGGTCCACTCTGCAAGGTCATGGGGCAGTAGGGAAACAAACATCTGGCCCTGAGGTCTTCCTCTAAGCCAGACCCCTGTTAAGCAGTAGAGCAAGTCCGTTCTAGGGGATTTGGAGGTGGGAGAGAATACGTTCCCTCCTTTTGCCCTGCCCAGCTTCCTGAACATGAGGCAGGAGACTGGGTCTCCTGGTGTCAGGATCCCTTGAGAGCATCACAAACAGGCCAGGGAACCAAAGGTACTCACAATAGGGCCTGGAGGGCCCGGGGAGCCCCTCACTCCAGGTGGACCCTGCAAAGAAAACCAAGAGGAAATGGAATTAAAGGGCTCAGGCCCCACAGGGCCCTGGGGTCTCAACAGACCTTTCTCTCTGCTCCCCACACCACAGTCAACAGAAGGCAACCAATGTCCAAGCAGAACTTTGGTATTAAAATGGTCTTTCATTCCATTCATCAGTCATTCAATAAACATTTACTGAGCAGCTATTTTGTAACAGGTGCCCATGTGTCCAGGTGTTGGGGCTAAACAAAACCGGTAAGATCGATGTATCCAAGGACAGCACGTAAGGTCACAGTGGTTAGGACTGGAAGGTACATGGCTCACATAAGGCCCTGGTGGTCCCTAAAGCACTTTCACAGCAGATAGGGAGCCAGACCAGGGCCTGAGAGGAGCTCTGGCAGGAAAGACATGGTAACTGAGAGCTGCATATGTGGAAGCACCTTGGGGTCCTGCCTCGAGGTCTTACCTCTTCTCCTCTCTGGCCTGGCAGACCTGGAGGACCAGGCAGGCCAGAGCTCCCAGGGCATCCTGGCTCTCCCTCGTTGTTGTCCCCCTGAGGTGAGGATGGAGATGGTAAGAGTGAGCAGCCAGGGCCTTCCATGTGGGGTACAGGGCACGGGTAAAGCTGGGGCAAGGAGCCCACTCACCCGAGCCTCCTCAGCTCTGGGGCGCTCCCGCTCAATGAAGCACTGTGGCGGAGAACAGTGAGAGGTGCTCTGTCAGGAGAGAGCAGCCGGAAGCTCTCCTGTCAACAAGGCTGCCCTAGCCCAGCCCCCTACCCGAGCACAGTTGTCCAGGCCTGGCACTCCGGGAATGCCCTGGTCTCCCTTCTCCCCTTTCTCCAGTACGGACACTGGGCGGGCCATCTGCCCTTGGGCACAATCCCCACAGATGCTCTGATGAGACAAAAAGAGTCGTGAGTTATGAGTCAGAAAAGGCTAGGATGAGCTGAATGGGGAGGCTTCTCAGGCCCCAGAGCTGAGGGACTCCCTCCAGCCTCAGCCCCAGCCCTGCAGTAGCCTTGCTCCATCCTCAGGGGACTCAGTCCCAACAACTGGCTTTGAGTTTCCTCCAAGAAGCAGCTTGGGTAAGGCCAAGCCAAAGCCACTTTTCCAGACAGGCATGTGGGCGGAGGCGGAGGGGCCTGCAGAGGGACCATCTGTCCCGGCTGTTCCTGCAACCTGCACCCACTGTGAGGACAAGCAAGGAGGAGTTGGGCTGGAAAGGCTGGCTCCAAATGCCAACTTCTCTGCCCAAGGGACAAAGGAAATAGCTGTGGCAGGAAGCTAGCACTTTGCAGACGCTCCCTGGGATGGGGCCTACCCTCGTTTCCCCAGGCCTTCTCTTATCTAGGGTTTTAACCTTCTTTGGGTCACAGACTCCTGAGAGTTTGATAGGAACTAGGGTGCTCTTCCCACAAAAATCAAACCAACAAGTAAACATTGGCCTACGATTTTAGAGAACCCAGGGTGACTGGAGTCTACCCATGGACTGGCAGGGTGCCCACGCATCCATGGCAAGAATTACTGCTCAAACCTCCACTGTTCACTGCAAAATCCAATCATAATGGCTGATTTTTCTTTAACACCCATGTGCCAGGCATTGAAATGGGTCCTGGTATATGATCACATCCAATCGTGACAATACAGTGAGGCAGACAATCTTACAAGCAATCTGGAAAGGACAGAGTGGGCATTCCAAGAAGTTGTGTGACTTGTCTAGGTAAACGGGAGTCGGGATTAGACCCTGGTCTGTATGAGAGCCCACACTCTCTCCCCAAGCCCAGGCTCCTTCAGGAAAGCCGTGGATGTAAATGCGTGTGTGTGATTGCAAGGCTGGTCAGCACTCTCTTGGGTACCATCTGATCCCTTCTCCACACCACCTCACTTCCTGTTTGGGGCCTTCTGCTGTGTGCTTGGGTTATAAGCCAACAGGCAAACTGCTGTATGGAGAAATGTCAGTTCTGCATCTGTAGGCTTTTAAATGGTCTCCAGTCTGGGGATAGGGGCGGGGATGGGGAGAGCCCAGGCTTGGTCAAGCCTAGGGGAGAAGAGCTGGAGTCTTGTTGCCACACCCCACTGTGACCCTGCATGTAACTGCTGCAAGGTTAACCTGATTTCAGGCTGCTTCTGAAAACATCTACTGGCTGTCCAGGGCAGGAGCGAGACAGGCAGGCCTCATAATCTGCCCTGACCGGGAACCACTTTGATAATGGGATATTCACAGCACAGACTAGCCAGGGCCAGAAGAGGGTGGCTGGGACAGGAGGTCTCTGGGGACTATGATATAAGAGGGGTCCCGAGAATGCAGAGCTGCAGGAAAGACATGAGAGGATCTGAAGGTCGCCTATCCTGTGAGGGATCACAGGTGCATGCCACCAAGTCCGCTGTCTCACACCACTAAAATCGCTTCTCCAATGCCATGTCTCCAGGGATTCCTCTGGACTGACCAGAGAGCCACTGAAGTCACCTTCGAGGCCTGCCCAACCTCATCACCTCATCATGGAACCTTCACAGCCCCTTAGCCGCCCACTGTGCTTTGAAAACTGCTGAGCCCTGCCCACCTGACCAGGGCAGTATGGGGCTCACTGCTGACCTGACTCTGGGCGGACTCACACCCAGCTACTGTGGGCCATTTTCAAGGCTGGATTTTGCTGACAGCACCCACCACATGGGTACCTTTGCAGTCAATATTATGGGCTAAGCTCCATGCTAGGCTCCCTCAGGTAGAGACTTGTGAGCTCTCCCTGTAGGTGTCCTTCCTATAAGAATCCTCTTAGGAGATGTCCTGCTCCCAGTTCCTACTCCCTTCTCACCTACCCTCTTACCTTAAGGAGTTGCTGTTCAATTGGCAAGGATCCCTGAAAGAGACAGACACCTGGGCTCAGACAGCTGAGTGGAGAGGAGGAGGAGGGAGACCTAGGGAATCAGGGGGAGCCTTGGGAAGTACCCTGCCATGCTGGCTTCTCTCAGCCTTAGGGAACAGACAGATGAGCGGCCCCCACTGTAGCAACAGGAGTCACAAGGCAAGCACATCCCTGGGAAGGACAGGGAGGGAGGGGGACAAGCAGGAAGGCCTGGCCAGTACCTACCACTTCTGCAGTAAGCCCAGGCTGTCCTGGCAAACCGTTGTTTCCAGGAATTCCCTATAGCCAAGGAGAGACAAATGTGATGCACCTCATGCGAGCCCATGCGAGCCCTACAGCCTTCTCATCATCCCTGTTGCCTCCCACCTCAGCCCACAGCTGAGAGCTGTCAGGAACAAGAGTGACATCTGGCCTTAGCCTGAAAGCCTCCAGACCCGTTGATGGTGTAGCCCGGGGGCTGACCCCCTAAACCAGTCCAACAGGGAGTGTTCCCCCACAGGTCAGGAGAAAATCAGAAACTGAGTTGTGGGTTTTCCATATACAGGCATACCTCCCTTTATCACACTTGACATATTTCAGGGTTTTTACAAATTGAAGGTGTGTGGCCACTCTGCGTGATTTCCTTTATTGCAATGGTCTGGAACCAAATGTGAACTAGCTCCAAGGTCGGCCTGACGTAACTATTGTCTCTTTGTGTGTTAGACACGTTTCCTTTATTTTCTCATTTAGTCACCACAGTTATCTTGGTGACCTAGGTGTTGATAGCTCTATCTTAAAATGAAAGAACTCAGAGAAAGCAACAAACCAAAGATCACAGGAAGAACAATGCACAGAACTGAGATTCAGGATGAGGACCAACTGCTTCCAACCCCTGTCTCAACCACTACTTCAACCTCATTCTTCAGAACCCAATGCACACAGCAAGGGCAGAAGCCTGGGGAGTCGCATCCATCTAGGTGCAAAGCCTGACTGTTGTTAAGTGCCCTCAAGTCAGTTCCAAAACATAGTGGGTTTCCAAAGAGCAGCTAGTAGGTTTGAACCACCAACCTTGTGGTTCGCAGTCCAGTGCTTATTCTACAGCACTACACGGGCCTCTGGGTGGTGCAAATGGTTAACATACTTGACTGCTAACCGAAAGGTTTTAATCCATCCAAAGTGCCTTTGAAGAAAGGCCTGGCATTCTACTTCCAAAAGGTTACAACCATTAAAAAGCCTATGAAGCATACAGATCTACCATGACACAAAGGGCTGCCATGAGTGGGAATCAACACAACCACAGGTGGTAGTGGTGAAGGTGGAGGCGATGATGGTATAACAGTTGGCAGGTGACTTTAAAAAAAAAAATTTGTGCCTGCAATTCAATTTCTGATCTGCAAAACAAGGGGCGTTTATCGTGCAGCTTAAAGGAGCTACTGACTGTAAGGAGCTTAGTACAGAGCCTGGCACCCAGAATGCCATGTTAAATGTTTGCCACGCTGACTTTCTCTTCCTCCTTGGAGATTCACAATGGCATTTGCATATTAAATACTCCACAGAGACATGGTGTGCATTAGGGTTTAAAATCCCCAGGTGCCCGACATGGAGGAGAAGCACATTAAGTAGAGTCGAGTGAATGCTCCACTGATTCCCCTGCACAGGATTTCCTAGGCCTCTCTTTCAAGTCCCAGCTCCCAGCAACAGAACACATCACCACTAGTCCTCACAATTTCAGGCTAGGCGATCTCATGCCTGCATCAGACCTGGAGTCAGCTGCCCCCACAGATGTCACCCAGCCTAAATGAGTTAATATGTACACGGTGCTTAGAAAAAATGCCTGGCATGGGGACAGCACCTTGTAAGTATTCATTTTTGTCATTGTTAGTTGCAGGTGAGTGCATCCCAGGTGTTACAGAGTAGAGCTACTCCATAGGGTTTTCTGAACTATAATATTAATGGAAACAGATTGCTAGCCCTTTTTCTTTCACAGTACCCTAGGTGGATTAGAACTGCTAGCCACACTCAGCCCCTGCTCACTCTCCCACTGCCCCTGTATTAGCTCAAGCCTCATACTTTGTATTCCTTTCCTGCCCTCCCGGAATGAAATGTCCTACCTATTCTGCTAGATAGCAACAATTATGAGGATGGCCCAGGACCAGGATATGTTTCGTTCTGTTGTGCATAGGGTTACTATGAGTTGGTGTCAACTCGATGGTACCTAGCAATACTTCTGCTATAGAAATGAAGAGTGTAGGGGCTGGTGTCAAATCCCCTGAATTTAAACCCAAACTCAACTGCCTACTAGCTTTATGTTGTGGTGATGTGCCATGGAGTCGGTTCCGACTCATAGCGACCCTCTACAGGGTTTCCGGGGTCGTAAATCTTCACGGGAGCAGAAAGCCTCATCTTTCTCCCACGGAACAGCTGGTAGTTTCGAACTGCTGACTATGAGTTTAGCAGCCTGATTTGTAACAACTACGCTACCAGAGCTATATACCAGTAGGCACGTTTCTTAACTTCTGGGCCTCCGTTTCCTCATCTGTGAAATGGATGAGGAGAGCTATATACCAGTAGGCACGTTTCTTAACTTCTGGGCCTCCGTTTCCTCATCTGTGAAATGGATGAGGATTCAGTGAGACAATCGAGAGTTGGGACTGTGATTTGGGGCAAGTATATACCATATATCTCTGAACCTGCTTCTGCTACTTACTTTGAAAGGTCTGAGTAGGGAATCTGCAAGGGAATGCCCTGCATCCTACCTAGCACGGTGCAAGTGCTCATGTAGCAGCAGCCTCAGATTGGTCTCAGGCACTGGCACTGGACAATGGCTTGTTGCCCGGATAGATGTGGCAGTTGCTCCTTTCTGCCTCATTCCCCAGCATGTCTTGGCAGGGTTTGTACTACCTCAGCTTGGCTTTGTTAATGGGTCACTTTGAAATGACTATCATGTTGCCTCCCACTTCCCCAAGCAAACTGCAAGTCTCCTGCAGACAGATTCCTGTTTCCCAGCAGTGCTTCAGGACACGATGGCTGACCCATGGAGGACTAAAAGTGGGCACCCAATGAACAGAGAGAGACACCCATCAGCGATGGTGCTCGCCAGAACAGAACTCCACCCAGGGTGGCAGGGCAGCGTCTGCCTGGGGTGGGGTGGACTATATACAATCTCTGGGGAAGAGGAGAGTTGTCTTCCCCAGCTTCTATGTGATTCTGCTTTGCTTCCCTTCCCCTCTTTTCAGATGAGAATCACTCTTCCTGGAGCTGGGAGCCCAACGCCCACAAGCATATCTCTATGTGTCCCAGGACCTCAGGGAAATGTGGCTGAAGTGGACGGGTGCGGGCAGTGCTCTGCAAGGGGATGCTCTGTCCAGTACCGCCACTTCCTAGCCAGAATGACCTTGGACAAGATACTTCAATTCTCTGAGCCAGTCTGCCCAGCTGTGACCTAGAGACAACACAGCCTTTCTATTAATGCTAATGTAAGGCTCAAATGAATGGACAGTCATACTGGTTGTGGTTGTGGTGGTAGTTAAGTGCTATCAAGCCAGTTCTGACTCTTAGCAACCCTGTATAGGGTTTTGAGAATTGGCTGGTGGGTTGAACATGCAACCTTGTGGTTAGCAGTTCAGTGCTTACCAGGAATCCACTAATAGTGATTGTTGTTACTGTTGTTGTTGTTAAGTGCCATCAAATCAGTTCTGACTCATAGCGACCCTGTATAGGGTTTCCAAGGAGTGGCTGGTGGATTTGAACTGCCAATGTGATCCAGTGCTGTTCACTTCAGTGCCAGACCAGGATTCTCTAATAGTGGTGGTGGTGGTGGCTGTGTGTCACAGAGTCGACTCTGACTCCTAGCAACCCTGTAGGGTTTCCAAGGCTATAAATCTTTGCAGGAGCAGAAAGGCTCATCTTTTTCCTGCGGAGCAACAGGTAGATTCAAATTGGCTCATAGTCCACTATGTTACCAGGGCTCCTTCCTACAGTAGTTGTTGTTGTTGTTAAGTGCCGTCGAGTCGGGTCCGACCCATAGCGACCCTGTACAGGGTTTCCGAGGGTGTAAATCTTTACGGGAGTAGAAAGCCTGATCTTTCTCCCGCGGAGCATCTGGTAGTTTTGAACCGCTGACCTGAAGGTGTACATGCAGTCAAATGGTACTAGTAATAGTGGTACATGCAGACCCCGGGTTACAAACTAAATCCATTCCTAAGTGTGTCTTAAGAGTCGAATTTGTCGTGAGTTGGAACAGGTGCAGAACAGTTCTCATTTCGCCTTATTTTAGTGCAAGAAAAGGCGTGAAGCTTTTTCAGCGATTTCAAAGCTCCATGTGCAGCAGGTGAAGGTGATTGTAATGAAGCGTTTGTTGTGAGTAGAGAGGGGGTCCTTCAGTTGTTTCAAAATTAGAGTGAATTTACATACTATTCGAGAGCAAGTAGGAGACTTCAGTAAATCTGCCGTTCATAGCCTGGGGACTGACTGCCCAAAGTAATAATGATGGCTAATGTTTTCTGTGTATTTACTAAATGCCAGGGAGAGTTCTATGCATTTGCACATATTACCTCATTTAACACTCACAAAAGCCTTATGAAGGAGGTACTGTAATCATCTCCATGAAAGAGATATTAAGTAACTTGTCCAACACCACATAGCTAGCACATGACAGAGCCAAAGTCAAGTCAGCTAGCTTTAGATGCTGTACTGGTCTCAATGCCCAGTCCTCTCCGTCACGATCTCTGGCCTCCTTGCCATTCCCCCAACACACCAAGCACATTCCCACCTCCAGGCCTTTACCCCTGCTGGCTCCGCTGCCAGGAATGCTCTCCCTACAGATTCTCCTCATTTCCTTCAAGCCTTGATTCCAACGGCTTTCTTGTCCTCAAACCTCATCTTTCTTGCCTTCCTCCCATTCCCTGATTATCTATTTCCTTAATACGTACCACTTCCTAACACACATGGAGTCCTGGTGTGGTGCTGTGGGATAAAGCACTGGACCACAAGGTCGGTGGTTCAAACTCACCAGCCACTCCTCAGAAACCCTATACAGGGTCTCTATGAGTCTAAACCAACTCGATGTCACTTAACAACAACAACCTACTATGCATCTTATTGTTCTTGTTTATTGCCTGTCTTTCCTTCTAGAATGCATGCTCCAAGAGAGTAGAAATTCATATCTGTTTGGGCCACTGCTATAGCCCCAGCACCTAAAGCAGTGTTTTTTGTTGTTAAGTGCTGTCTAGTCTGTTCCGACTCATAGCGACCCTGTTTCCAAGGAGCAGCTGGTGGCTTTGAACCTCTGTTTCCCAAGAACTAGTTCAGCAACTGCACCTGAAGTAGTACCTGGGAAATAGCAGATGTGCAAAAATATATATTGTATAATTGCAAGCTGGAGGTGGCTCCAAAACTGTAGAGCTCAGTTCCAGTGTAAAAGATTTTGATCTGACCCAGATTGTGGGTTCCTGACAGCTGGCCAAAGCCTGAGCTTAACCCTGGCAATCCTTTAAAAGGTGCTGCTGGTGCACACAGCCTGTCCTCAGGGCTCAGTAGGCCCTCCAGGCAGCTCTGGGAAACAGGAGCCCAGGGAGTGAGACATGGTGCAGGGATGTGGTTGGAGCAGGAGAGCAACCTTCTCCAGCTGGCAGAAGCCTCCCAACAGCATGAAACTCCCTGACCCACAAACTCCTTATTCTTGTCTCCCTTTACCTGTATTCCAGGCATTCCAGGGGGGCCGGGTGGTCCAGGAACACCTGGGGGACCCTGAGGGAGAAAAGGAAGGATCAAGCCCAGAAGAAAGCTCTGCCCCGTTGCTTAGCAGCGGGAGTAGGATGGGCAAGCCGTGGGGTGCTGGCGGACGAAGAAAAGAGACACAGGAGACAAGCGACACACACCTGCGGACCCGGCTGCCAGGAGCTGCCCATCCAAAGTCCCGGAGCACCCTGGGTGGGAGTGGGGGTCGCAAAAGAAGGGGAGAGGTTATAGGCAACGTCCACACCAAGCGCAGGGTGGCACGGGGAGGCGGCTGGCTGGGGCGCAAAGCCCGACGAGGCCCGTGGCACAGAGGGCACTAGGCAGGAAGCTGGGGGTCTCAGTACCACTTACCGGCATGCCAGAGAAGATGGGGTCTCCCCGAGAAGGGCAGGAGCATTCCCCTGCTTCACCCTGAAAAGACAAGGACCTTTATTAGAGGTGGACAAGGATGAAGGGTGACGTCTGGGAGCAAGGGGGCGCTAGAGGATCTGCCCCTATTCAGCCTCTCTGAACTTCAATCTCCTCATCTATAAAATGGGGATAATAATACCAGTCACGTGCATAGATCATTGAGGATGCAATGGATTGGTGTGTCCAGAACTCCTCAGCAAAAGGCAGCTCCTGCTACGACTGACGCTCTCCTGCGATAACATCTTCGTCAGCATTCTTGCCTCCAGCACAGTTGCAGCCCAACCCAGCTGCAGTCCTATCTCCCTTGGCTCTCCAGGCCCTTCACATCTCTGCCCTCACAGTACCATCTTTATCTGCTCAGTTCTTGCCTCTGCCATCTGACTTGCTCTCATTTAAGCAGCTGTTCTCCTGAAGGCCTTGGAGCAATCTGAGTCATGTGACCCTAGGTGAACCCTGGAACAAAGGTGCTGGTGGGTGGTGGTATGGGGGCCAGAATAACTCCTTGACTCCTGCTCCCCAGATCAGGGCACTACCATATGCGTACCCCTTGGCCACCAAGGTTGCCCCAGTGGTGGGTCTGTCAGAGCTGCCAATTCCCCCAGAGTTTTTGTCCCAAGTTGTTGGGACTCACCTTCTCTCCTGGAGATCCCTTTTCACCCTGCAGGGAGGAAACACAGGGAGGTGAATAAGGAGGGGTGTGGAGACAGAGACAGCTATGGTTTACAGCTGCCATTTCTGGGAGAAAGATGAGACGTTCTGCTCCCATACAGATTTACAGCCTCAGAAACTCTGTACAGGGTCGCTATGAGTTGGAACCGACTCCACGGCACATAACCATCACCACTAGAGACTCTGTACTCACCTGCATTCCTTTGGCCCCTGGAAGCCCACTCTGTCCTTGTTGCCCATCACGTCCCTGAAGGGAGAAAGGTCGGAGTCAGTGGACTAAGAGGGACAGCAGTCCAGCCATCTGACCTGCCGGCACAGAAGGGCTGTAGGGCAAACAGAAGCAGTTCCAGGCCCCTCTGGAGTCCCATGCCCGCATTCTGGAGGAGGAGACTGAGGCACCAGAAACAAGAGGAGAAAGAAAGGAAGCTAAAGATGGACATTTCCTCAGACCTTCTGGGTGCAGACACTGGGCCAACCACCTGTGAGAGAGTGTCTGTGGAATCCCCACTCCAAGCCCTGAAGAATGGCATTGTTCTGCTTTACAGGTAAGGAAACAGAGACTACAGGCTTAAGAATGCAACTGTGCCCAGGCCTGTCTAGCCCCAAAGTCCCTGCTCCCCTCAACGCACTTCTTGTGGTTAAGTTGTTAAGTGCTATCAAGTTGGTTCCGACTCATAGCGACCCCGTATAGGGTTTCCAAGGAGCGGCTGGTGAGTTTGAACCACCGACCTTTCTGTTTAAACCTACCCTGGGATCCAGTGCATTATCCTACAGTGCCATACCTGCCCCCCTAGCAGGCACTTAGTACACAAAAGTTTCTATCACAAAAGTTACCCCAGTTGACGTGACTGGGAGGTAGGAATTTCAGTTCCTGTTTTACCAACAAGGAATCAGAGACTCTGGGGTACCACTTTGCTAAGGTCACACAACTAGTGAGCAGGGGACTGAGATCGAAGGCCCCCCGGGTCAGATTCGGTGGAAGGAAACAAGGTCTGAAGAGCATTCCTAGAGCAAAGCTGCTGGAGCAAAGACACAGAATCTCCTCAGGCCCAGAGAACCAGCCTGGTGGCTCAGAGCACTTTCTGATGGCTGTCTTCCCATGGGCCTCTCCACTTCCTTCTGGGATGACCAGGACCACATCTCTGCCTTTACTCTGGGGCTCCTGGGAACAGCAGGGATCCTGACTTCCCAGCTCTGCTGATAAACACACTGGTGTGTGGGCTTGGGCAAGTCCCTGCCTCCTCTGGGCCTTGACACACACTTGTAAGGAAGAAACTGGAATTTCTCTAGGGATTCCTAAGAACACAAAAAGATACTTGTTCGTGGGGCAATTCTCAACTTCATCAAAAGCCCAAGAAAAATTATACACTTGTCCATGACCCAGCAGGTGCAGGCTGGCTGAAAGGTAGAATCTCTTAGATTCTAGTTAGAATTGTATCATCTTGTAAAATTCTAGTGGGTTCATGTGGTGCAGAAGTTGACTCTTATATAGGTCTTTGATGCATCAAGATGAGGAATGCACTTAGTTTTACTTAATCTATATAGTTTGTTCAATAGACAGAGTCCATGAGAATCACTGGGTGGGAACAATAATAAAAAGGAGGTCTTGGAGGGTAATGGGAGTGTGAGCTGCTGATCATGCTCTGTGTTATCCAATATGGCAGCCATTAGCGCCAGGTGGCTATTGAAACTTCAGAGAAAATGGAATGAAATTTAAAACTCACTTCTGGGGTACCAGCCTCATTTAAAGTTCTCTACAGTGCTTACCAAGGAGCTCTGGGAGCGTAGTGGTTATGACTCAGGCTGCAAACCTCAGGGACAGCAGTTTGAAATTACCAGCTGTTCCGCAGGAGAAAGATGAGGCTTTCTGCTCCCGTAAAGATTTACACCTCAGAAACCCTGAACAGTGTCACTATGAGTTGGAACCGACTCCACGGCATATAACAATAACAACAGTGCTTACCATCTTGGAAGGCACAGAATAGAATGTTGCCATTGCCATAAACAGATGCCAAGAGAAATGTAAACAGTACAAGGTCATTTATTAGATCTTCCTTATTATGAATGATTCTCATGACGTCTCAGTGATGCTGATATCACCATGGTCATAGTGGGTGGGCCAGTGTAGATTTCATGCCCAGGATGCAGTTTCTGAATTATAGTTGGCCCTGGTAGCTCTGGTAACATAGTGGTTACATGTCAGGCTGCTAACCTCAAGGTCAGAAGTTCAAAACTACCAGCAGTTCTGTGGGAGAAAGATGAGGCTTTCTGCTGCAAAGATTTGCAGCCTAGGAAACCCTATACAGGGTCATATGAGTCAGAACCAACTCCATGGCACATCAATGACACCACCAAACAGATCTACTGGGCAGCACTGGTCTAGAAGATCCCTAATGACACCAAGGTTTGAAAGGGGACAGTGGTGAACACACAAGCTTCGAATCAGACAGACCTAGGTTCAAGTCCTGGCTCTGCCTCCTCACTATCTGGCAGTCAGCTTCCTCATCTATGAAAGGGGGACCCTCCTAGCACTCCCCTACAGGGCTGTTGTGAGGATTAAGTGAATGGAGAGGCCCTGCATGTGTAGAACTTAGCACGGGACCTCACCACTGCCACACAGATCAGAACACTGGTGCTGATCAGTACTGCGATCTTCCCTCCTCTGAGGCTGGGCAAGGCTGAGGTCACTCTTCTCCCTGTGCCCTCTTCCCAGCAGTGTCCTTGGGAGGCCCTTACCCTGTAAGGAGCAGGGAGCCAGAGAGGACCCTTACCGGAGGCCCAGAGACACTGGCACCAGGCGGTCCAGCAGGTCCAGTGGCTCCTTTCACCCCTGGAGGTCCCTGTGGGCAAAGGACACACATTTGCAGTTAGTTGCAATACAGCAGGTGGGATGCATCGGGCCAGGTCTTGGGCAGCCCTCTAGTGGGCACTACTCAGCTTCTAGGTCTCCTGTATCCACCACCAGGGTCCTCTGAAGCAAACCCCATACCCAAGGAGGTAGAGTCTCACCTTAGCACCCTTCTCTCCAGTGGGGCCAGGTGGTCCTCGAGGCCCCTACAGACAGAAGTACAAGTAGTTATCCCTTATCCAAGAGTGGCCTCTACTTGTCCCCAACCCACCTCCAGGCCCAAGACAGACTGACCTGAATACCAGGCACGCCTTGGACTCCAGGCTCTCCCTGCAAGTCAGAAATGGCAGACTGGAGCACAGCGGCCTAGCTGACCTGGTTGGGGGGTGAGGGAGTGGGGGTGGGGGTGGGTTGGGGGGGTGGGGGCAACCACCAACCTAAACTCAAGAGGACTCCCCAAGGATACCCTAAGAGCCAAAGAGGAGGGGACGGGGACAAAACCATATTACCATCCAACCCCTCCCACAAGCTGTGCCCGCTGAGCATCTGGGGACAGTCAGAGCTCTGTGGTCTTTGGAGCAGATGGGAGTGAGCAGCTGGCTAATGGAAGCGAGTGGAGGGGAGGGGTGGGCAAGCAAAGGTAAGGTTGGAGACTCACCTGGGGCCCCTGGACTTCTGTTCCTGGAAGTCCTGGCTCTCCCTAAAGAGGCAGAAGAATAAACGCTGGCTCCAGGCTCCCGCCCTCCTTTCTAGCCCTCTCCTCAATACCTTCTTACCCTCCTCCACTACTATCCTCATCTCCACTTCCCATGCCACGCCCATTGCCCCCATCTCCCCACCCAATGCTCACCCACATATACCGGTATCCCAGACCCCATATTCACACCTACCTGTGTCCCCTTCAGTCCTGGGCGTCCTTGAACTCCAGGTAGACCAGGCAGGCCCTAAAAACACAAGGTGGCCACGGAGTCCGCAAAGGAAAAATGTGCGATAGAAGAAAGAGAAGGCAAAGCCCAAGCAGGGAAGGGCCAGGGACTAGGCAACCAAACTCACCGGTTTACCAGGCCTGCCCACACCTTCAGGGCCTGGCTCTCCCTTGGGGCCTGGCTTCCCAGGTTGTCCGGCCATGTCAGTCATCGCCCCCTGCAGGCTGGGGCAGGCAGTGCAGCTATCACCCTGGGCAGAGATGGGCACAGCCCAGAGCATGTGAGTGAAACAGGCAGCTGGATCAGGAGGAGATTTCAGAAAGGGGGTCCTTGTGTCATCTAAGAGTCCAGATCCCCCACTACTCCACACTCACCCTGAGAAATCAAAGCAGGTTCCTGTGCTCTTAGCTCTCCTCCTCCCCGCCTCAGAAGAAACCTGAGGAGCCTATGCCCATGATCCTGGAATCCTCTGAGGCTCACAGCCCAAGCTCACTCCTGACCCATGGTCCTTCCTCTCGTGAGCATTCTACCTTATTTCATAGGTTCATGAAGCAAGCCACCCCTTGTCTGACTGACCTTGTCTCCTTTTGGCCCTGTTAGGCCACGGACCCCAGGTTCTCCAGACAGTCCTGGCTGCCCTGTAGTGCCCGGGATTCCAGGGTCTCCAGGATTCCCAGCATCCCCCTGTAAGAAGCAGGGGTCAGGAGGGCAGAAGTGGCCCAGCAGGGGGTAGCTTGCCTTCTTGGGACCTGCAGGCATTCACAGCCCTTCACTAGGGCGGAGGGCTGGGGCTGGGAAGGGAGTGGGCCATCAAGAAAAGGAGGTGGTAGGGGAAGAAGTGAGAGGAGGGGGTTGGGAGAGCCCACCCAGGGTCCCACCAAGACACTCTCACCTTCTGTCCCTTCATTCCTCGCTCTCCTGCCTTGCCCTGAGGACAAAGCATTTCTGTGAATGCATTCTTTCATACCAGACACTCCTAAGTGCCCAGCACTGGGCTAGAGCCAGGGGGTACAACAGTAGATAGACAGATATAAAGCTCTGCTCACTACCTACTCAAGGAGTGCTCAAAGGCCCAGACTTCCGGTCTGGGTAACCCTGGACAAGTTACTTCACTGTGCCTCAGTTTCTTTATCTGTCAAATGGGATGATAAAAATCATACAAGGTTCCTGTCCATAGGGTTCTTGTGAAGATTGCTATAACTGTTAAGTGCCATCAACTCAGTTCTGACTCATAGCAACCTTATATAAGGTTTCCAAGGCTGACATCTTTGTGGAAGCAGAAAGCCTCATCTTTCTCCTGCAGAATGGCTGGTGGGCTAGGACCACTGACCTTATAGTTCACAGTCCAGTGCTTATCGTATGTGAAGCAGTGCCTGGCAGGTGGTATGTATTGAATCTATGTCTGCTGTTGTTATTAAAGTAATGACAATAATAACTACAGTGGTAACTCTCAGCTCCTGAATAATACCTACTGTGTGCTGCCAAGTGCTTCACACACAGCTACACAAAGCTTTATAACAACATTATGTGAAGGAGTCAGCGGTACCAACAAGAGACATGAATGGCTCAAGTTGAAGGTCTAGTAATGGGCATTGCTGGAGTCTGAGCCCATGAACAAGCACATGCTCCTTGTTCTCACTCCACCATGTTGAGTCCCTCTGGTGACAGCCACTGTCCCCTCCACTCCACAGAGAATGTGGGCCGGAGTCAGGAGACCCAGGCAGGAGCCTTGACCTCTCTTGAACCCTTCTTGCTCCTTGGCTCCCCAAGCCCCAGAACTCACCGGTTTTCCTGGCAGGCTGAGGCCTGGAGGCCCAGTCTCTCCCTTCTCTCCGGGTGGGCCAGGCAAGGCCACCACATGGCTGTTTCCATCCTGAGACTTAGACAAGACTGGACATGGCTCACAAGGCTCCCCCTGACAAGTAATGACATGAGATTGGGGGTCCACAAGTCCTGGTGTACCACTGTCAAGCTCAGAACCTGGGCTGGAGAGGGTAGCCTGGTCCTGGTGGCACCTGGAGTGAGCACCGAGTAGCTTGGGATAGAGTGGGAAGGGCAGGTGAGGAAGGAAGGTGGGGGCCAAGTCCTCAGGGTCTTGAAGACCATGCAAGGAGTCAGACTTTACTCTCCAGGCAATGGGGAGCCTCAAGATTTGAAGTACAGCAAGATGAGCATGTGCCTAGAAAGCGCAGCCCAGATGCAGTATTGGAGAATGACCGCAGACTCACCTTCTCCCCTTTGGTGCCTGCTGGTCCCATGGTCCCTGGTAGCCCCTACATGAGAAGAAGTCATGTTGAAGCCCAGCATCATCAAGGCAATGCTGAGGCACAGAGCAGGCCCACCATCTCCCCAGTGGTGGGTAGCATCTCCCTCCTTGTCCTCCTCCCCTGAACTGGCCATCTGAAGCATACTCACTGGACTTCCAGCAGGCCCTGTGTCCCCGAAGTTTCCCTGAGAGCAAAGCAGAGAAGAATATAAGGTCAAAGAGGGGCATAAATGCCAGAGCGGCCCTAAGCTCAGAACTACAAAGAAGCCCTTTGGGGCCTCTACATCACACTCTCCTTTCCTGTCTAGGGAAACTGTTGTTAATGCTGTCAAATCAGTTCCTATTCGAAGTGACCCTGTATAAGGTTTCCAAGGAGCAGCTGGTGGATTTGAACCACCAATCTTACAGCAGTTCAGTGCTTATCCTACCACAGCAGGACTCCTAGAAAAAACTAACTGCCATTGAGTCAATTCTGACTAATAGCGGCCCTATATAAGGTTTTCGAGACTATAAATCATGATAGGAGCAGAAAGTCTCATCTTTCTCCTGGGAAGCAGTTGGTAGGTTTGAACCACTGACCTTCTGGTTAGCATCCCAACTCCTAACACACAGTACTACTCAGAGAGGAAAAGGGACTTCCACAAGGTCTTCCATTCTAGTCCATGGAATTCAGGAGCTGTAGACCATGTTTCTGCCCCCAGCCTCACTTCACAGAATCCTAGGCAGAGCCTCATGCCTGACCCAACACATAAAGATCATTAATTCATGTATCCAATAGCTGTTCATAGGAAGCCTAGCACACATCAGATACCAGAATATGTACTGGGTATATAGCAGTGAACAACACAGACAAAAACCCTTGGGAGTCTTACATACTTATGGACAAAATAAAATCTCTAAAAGTAATAATAATTTTAGATAGTGGTGAATGCTATGAAGGAAATAAGCAAGGAGGATGATATGGAGTAAGCAAGAGAGGCCATTATTATTATTACCAGAAAGAGGAGAATAAAATTCACCGAAGAAAAAATCGGGGGAGGGGGAGAGAGAGGAAAGGAATCCCTGGGTGATGTAATCCCCTGGTGGAGCAGTGGGTTAAGTATTCTACTCTGTCCTATAGAGTCACGATGGGTAGGAACCAACGTAATGGCAGGGGGTGGGGAATGCAAAAGTCAACATGTTTGACTGCTAACCTTTTGGCTGGTGGTTTGAATCTATCTAGAAGGGCCTAGCACAAAAATTCTGGTGATCTACTTCCAAAAAACCCTATGGAGCGTAGCTCTACTCTGACACACATGATATCACCAGAATTACTTAAAGGGAAACTGGCTTATAAAACATCCACAAGTACAAAGTCCAAAAGGTCTTGACGTATTCCAGAATGGAATGAGGTCCAGTGTGGCTAAACTAAAGTTAGCCGGGAGAAGAGCACATGATGAGTTTGGAAAGATAGGCAGGGACTTGGTCATCCAGGGTCTTGGTAGTATACGTATAGCAGGACTTTGGTATATAGAAGGCAAGTCAGAGAAGGATGTTAATAGAGAAATAAAGCACAAGCTCCTCAGTGGAGGCAGGTAGGCCAGAGGGGAGGCAGTCACAGGCTGCCAGATGGTATGATGAGGCAGATGGAGAGAGTGAGGGAGTTGAGAGAGAGTCGAGAGTGGACAGAACTGTCAGGAGTTACTGAGAGGCTGCATGAGAAGGGTGATGTGGGAAAGGGGAGGAGTCAAGGAGAACTAGAGTGTTGGGTTGAGAAGCTGCGATATGTACTTCACTGAGATGAAGATGTAGGGGAAGATTTCTGAGGAGAAGTAGGGGTGAGGGTGGCTACATTTGAGACTTGACAAGTGTGATTTGCCTGTGAGAGTTACATCTGAACATATATTTCACTGTTTCTCATCTTTGAGCACTTTATGCCCACAGAGCCCTCCATTTGAATAATATTGTATTATAAGTTCAATACTGTCTAAATCGCAATCATAAACACAAATGTTAACAAAGCCACTCATTTATAGACTTGATTACAGGCTCAGGACTGCAAAGCCATTTGAACTGCGATGTCGGCAGTTCAAGCTCATCAATCACTCCTCAGAAACCCTATACAGGGTCACTATGGGTCAGAATCAACTCGACAGCACTTAACAACAACAACAGGCTCTGGAGCCAGACTGCCTGGATTCAAATCCTAGATTCTGAGCCCAAATATCTGTGTGGCTTAGGGCAACTTATTGAACCTCTTTGGGTCTCCATTTTCTCATCTATAAAATGGGAATAATGGCTCACCTACTTCATAAAGTTTTGGTAGGATAACACAAGTGAATGAATGTTCAAACACTTGGAACACTGCTCAGCATATTATACATGATGTAACCTACTGCCATCAATTCCAATTCATAGTGACCCCATAGGACAGACTAGAACTGTACCATAGGGTTTCCAAGGTGGTAAACCTTTATGGAGTCTTTATGGTCGCATACACCTTTCTCACTCTGGCTGGCTGGTTGGTTCAAAGCATCAACCTGTTGGTTGGCACCCAAACTTTAACCCCTGCACCACCAGGGTTCCTGTACATGGTATTTGTTGTTAAGTGCTGTTGAGTCAGTTTCAACTCATAGTGAACCTGTAGAGAGTTTCTGAGGAGCGACTAATAGGTTTGCACTGCCAACCTTATGCTTAGCAGTTCAATGGTGTTGTTGTTTAGTGCTGACAAATTGGTTCTGACTCATAGTGACCCTGTATAAGGTTTCCAAGGAGTAGCTGATGGATTTGAACTGTTGACCTCTTTGCAATTTAAACCGACCTTGAGATCCAGTGCATTATACTGCAGCACCACAACAGGACTCCATAGCGATTCAATAGAACTGTTAAACATGATTTTATTATAAGGTGGTCTTGAATATGCTTAACTGCTTTAGATTATCATTCAATTAAAAATACAACATTAAGGAATTCTCTTGGAAAATGGGCAGGCTCTCAGAATAAGGGCTTTGAACTGGAGTGAATGCATGCGTTTTATTTCACTGTGAATTGACAGTTTGATCTCTCGTCTATGTGACAGCTACTTCTCAGCCACCAGCCACCCACTCCCTCTACTTCCCGTCAAGCAGCCCTGGCATCTCACCTTCTCTCCTTTCAGCCCTGTTGGTCCTGGAGCGCCAACTTTCCCCTGAAAAACAACCAAGTCAGAGTTAAAGCATTCTGTCCACTCCCACCCCGCCAATATTCCATGGACCCCAGTGTCCAATCAGAAGAGACAGGCAAACTCAGAATTACAACTGTCCATGAGGAGAGGGACAGTTACTTCTGTTATGCAACTGGGCACTCTGAGGTTCTAACAGGGAAGTAGAGATGGAGGGAGGGGACACCTATCTGCTTCATGGTATCTCCAGGGCCCCTGCCCTAAGACTTGGGACTTGAAGAGCTAGGGAAGCCACCAATGTGATAGGCTGAACTGGGCTGGACTGAGCTGGACGAGGAGGAAGCAGTCTCTCACCGGAGGACCACGCAAGTCAGAGCCAGGGGAGCCCACATCCCCCGCAGAGGGTCTAGAATGCTGGGCCTCCACACCTAAGTTGCAGGATGAGCAGGACTCCCCCTAGGCGTGGAAGAAAAGGGATCAGCAAAGCTCCCTGAGGCCAAAGAGGAGCCGTGGGGGTGGGGATTCCCTCACCTTTTCTCCTTTGATGCCTTGGATGCCAGGGTCTCCCTGCAGGCAAAAAGGTTTGTGGCTAGGACTGGGTGTATTATGTCACCCCAAACTTCTTGGCCATGTATAAAGATAGCAACATCACCCACCACAAACCCTTCAAACATCTAGGGATCTCTATGGGGTTGAAGACCAGCACCCCAGAGATCGGGCTTATCAGCCCATGTAATAGACAGGGGGAAATGGGGCCAGGACTGAGTCTTCCCAATAGAACATCCCTGTACATACCCGATCACCTTTTTGTCCAACAGTTCCCAAGCCCTCCTGAAAAAGAGGGTCTATGAGGAAGTGGGATGGGGAATCCAGCCAGAACTTCTGCCTCAGCCCTGCCCACTCCCTTCCCCTACTCCAAACTAATACCTACTCACAGGTGAAGGGCACAGGCTCACTCACAGTAAGGATTGGTTCCAACCCAGCTTGCCCAAAAGGCATCCTAGAGCCGCCTCAAGAGCCCTGGTAGGGTGCCATGGAGACCTGGGGTGGCCCTCTAGCCCAGTTCTAAGCTGTATGGTTTGGCCACCTCTCTCTACCCAAAGTAAGAACTTGGACCCTCTGCTCATAATCTATGGTCAAATGAAGTCCAACTCCTCTCTATGACTGAGCCCCACTTTTGGGTGAGAGTCCCACAATGGCACCATGGACACTCACCCAGGTTAGTGCAGAATCGCCTGGTTCTCCCTTGGGTCCCGGCTTTCCAGGCAGCCCCACAAAGTTTTGTAACCCTTCAGGCAGCGTTGGGCATATTTCACAAGGGTCACCCTAGCAGGAAGGAGAGGCCATGAGGGAACAGATAGAGTGGAGCTAAGACCTCCAGGAAAGAAGGAGTCCTATGTCCACCCCACAGGTAGACCAGCCCTACCTCCAACATCAATGTGAACAGCAAGAATGGGGGGGACTTTCTGTTCAACTCATTCATTCACTCAACTTATGTTCTGGACATCACAAAACTACATCTTCACAACGATCCATAAGGAATTACCATGCCTCTATTGTACAGTTGGAGAAACTTGGTCTGAGAGGCTAATTGACCATACCCACATTCATAAATCATGTATGTGGTAGAGGCAGGGTTTGAACCCAGCTGTTGAACTCCAAGTCAGGATTTTTATTTAGCAATCACAGATGTTCACCACAGGAACACATGAGGGTGGGGAGGGGACTGCCCTGAGGACTGCCCTGGGCCCAGAATCCTTGATGCTTAGGCTCACCTTCAAGGAGAGGTTCTCACTCCTATCCCAACTGGAACAACCCACACCTGCAACTCACCTTTTCTCCCTTCAGCCCTGGCACCCCTGGTCTCCCCTGTTGAAGAAGAAGCAATGGGCAGGGCAGATGGACCATGGAGTGTCAAGAGAGGGTCTGAGGTTCCAGCTCCTCCTCCATCCAGAAGCCCTCCCTGGAAGAGCCCTTTCCCACCAGACTGCAGGTACTCACAGGTTTTCCACCAGGACCTTCCTTTCCAGGTGTCCCGGAGCTGCCCTGTGGACAGAAGGAAAGGTTAAAGGAAGTGGATCCATCCCCCTTCCCACAGCATCCCACCCCCTCCCCAGCAGGGCAATCCCAGCCAACTCTTTCATCTCCACTGGACCCTTTTGACCAAAAAACACTCCCTTCCTGATGCCTCTCCTTCATGGCTAATCCAAGTCCTTTTGGTTGCCAAGGAAGTGAGAAAATAAGTCTTTGTGTAACCCTTCCCTGGTGTAGCAGGGATCCCAGAAGAACCACAGAAAACAGGCAGACATTCCCAGGGCTTTCTGCTCAAGATTGTTGTTGTTGTTGTTAAGTGCCATCAAGATACAAGGCCCTAAATGAGCTTGGGCCCTCTAGTTAAGGTCATGCTGGTCATTGCTAGACCATGCCTGGAGCTCCAGGTCAGGACTCCCACCTCAGCAAGTCCTTGGTTGGGGGCAGAGCCAAACCCTACCAGCAAATGCCTGGCTCTTTCCCTCAGACACACCCACTGCCAGCTGCCCCATGTGCCCAGGTTCCTGCGCGTGCTTACCTTATCTCCCTTAGAGCCTGGTGGGCCACCCGGGTCCCCCTGAAGGTAGAAACAGGATCAGGTATTGACTTCCCAGGTGCCTCTCACTGCAGTGAAGGCTTCCAGATCTTCTACCTTAACCCCTTCCCTCAACCAGGAACCCCCACTCACAGGCAGGAAAGGAAGTACTTACTGGAGTCCCCGGCAGTCCTATCCCAGGGGGCCCAGGGAAGCCAGGGGGCCCAGGCTCCCCAGCCAGTCCCTCAGGACCAACAAAACCAGGGTCTCCCTGGCACAGACAATAAGGTGGGCATAAGAGAGCTGCTGCCTCAGTCCCACCATCTCCCCTCTAACCCATAGACACCCCAACTGACCTTCTGCCCTTTGGGCCCAATGACACAGATCTCTCCAGGCCGGCCCTGTGGGAGAGGGGAGGTGTAGGAGCAGTTGAGGCCTCGCAGATTTCCTGGGGCAGTAGTTACTGCTAGGACAGGTGGATGCTCCACCCCGACCCTCACTGTCCCTCTCCAAGTCAGATCCCAGTGCTCCAAGGTCACCCAATGTCAACCTCAGGGCATTAAGTCAGAGGCCTTGAGGCTAGGGTCTTTTCTGCCCTGTTCAGACCGAAAAACTGAGGTCCAGGGAGGGGGCTGGGTTCCTGTGGCTATCTTCCAGCATTTCAAGGTCCCAAGCTCCCATGTTGGAGATTATGGTGGGTAAGGGTCCCCAGCACCGTACATCTCGGCCTGCCTTCCCCGGCAAGCCCTTAGTGCCTCCGTCTCCCTTCTCGCCTTTCTGGCCCTGGAGGGAAAAAAAGGCAACAGGGTTGAGGTTACTGGAAGGGCCTGGAAGGACCATGGTAGCTCCTTCTGGGAGAGGAGCAGCTGCCTTCTTCTAGACCCCTGATCTCTGCCTCTTTGAGACTGAATGGCTTCAGTCACCATGAGAGGGTAGACAATAGGAAGAACTTCCAAACCAGCCAGGTTACTCCTTTGGGGGGCCTATGGCATTCCTTCTGGGTCTGAGTAGGAAGATGAAGAGGGATGGGGGTGCCACCCACTGACCTCATCAGAAAAGTAGAACCCAGATTTCCTAAGAAGATCTCCTAGATCACTTCCTCAAGGCTTTGGGGCCCAGCCCTTACCAGTACCCACCCCACCAAATCTAGACCTCCTACCTTCTGGCCTGTTGAGCCCTGGAGTCCTGAGGGTCCCTGAGACAAGGAGGGGGAACATTGAAGAAGGGGTGAGGAATGGAAGCTGAGGACCCTGCCACCCCTGCCCCATCCCTGGCCTCACACTCACCAAGGTTCCTGACTCTCCCTTCTCTCCCTTTGGACCTTCTGCACACTGAGCAGGGAGATGGGTGTTGAGAGGGGCTCGGAGTCATCTCAGAGGCTGCTAAGGGCACAGCCCCCACCCTAGGGGCTGACCCCATACTGTCCCAGAAGCAGGCACTGCCTCCAGGTCTTACCTGAAGCGGGGCATCCGGAGAGATTCTAATACAGTCATTACCCTGTGGGAGGGGAACAGGGGATCAAGGAAGGTGTGAGCCTCTTGGAAGAGTCACCCTAGATGTGTTTTCAGAACGATCACCACTGACTGCTGAAGTCACTCCAACCCAGTTCATGGCAATTTCATGTGTGTCACAGTAGAGCTGTGCTCCACAGGGTTGACACTGACTAATTTTTCAGGAGTAAATTGTCAGTCCTTTCTTCCAAGATGCATCTGGGTGGACTCAAACCATCAACCTTTCAGTTAGCAGCAGAGTGCAGTAGCCATTTGCACCACCCAGGGACTCTGAGGACAGGCCCAGGAAGCCCACAGTCCTAGGTGGTCCTGGAAGACTTCCATATACTATCCCCTAGAAAGATCCTGGTCTGCATCCTGTATTTGGGCCAGGGTACAGGCTTTCAACTGGGAGGATGGGGTCATGGCACATCATCCCATTCCACCCCCAGGCACCACCAGAGAGGGTCCTATAATCGGCATGGCTGGCACACTTACCCGAGCTCCCTTCTCTCCCTTGTAGCCTGATGGACCAGGCAGGCCCCGTTCACCTTTCCCTCCCTATGGGTGAGACCAAAAAAGGGGCTAGAACCAGAAGGAGCATATGAAGCTCCCTGCCCCCACTTCTTCTCCACCCACCCCAACACACATGGGTATGTAAATGTGCACACATATGGGCAGAGCCCAGCCCCCACCCTTCCCGCCTCCATGCACAGTTTATAAATCCCATATGTATTCCTACATACCCCCTCCAAGGCTGTATTTGACAAATATATAGTCTTATAAAGAGGGTTTCTTCCCCACTGCCACCTCCAAGCACACAGCTCACATGCCACCACACACAAGTGAACACACATGTGAGACAGCAGGAACACATGATGACAGAGTGTCAGCCTGCCTGCAATCACATCCTGCCTGCACCACTTGCTAGAGCAACTCACGTCCCCTCTACGAGCCTGATTCCTCATCAGTAAGTGGGGATCACGCTAGCACTTAGCTCTAGGGGTGATGACACCATATAAAAGCTCAACTCAGAACCTGTACTCAGTGCTCACATGATTGTATGACCCTCAGAAGCTCAGCCTCATGTTTGCACACATGTGCAGAGATGCTCATGCAAGTAGTGGCCCAGAGATGCATGTTGTTATTGTTGTAAAGTGCTGTCGAGTCAGTTCCGACTCATAGTGGTCCTATATATAGGGTTTCCAGGAACGGCTGGTGAGTTTGAGGGGCCGAAGAAAAAGGCGGCTCTTAACATCTTTTACAGATACATCCCCTGCTGTCACCAACACACAATCTCCCCACATGCAGTCATACACCCACAGAAGGTGTCACATGCTCCAGACACGGATGAGCACATCAAAGAGGGTAGGAGCATCCTGTTCTTTGCCTGGGACTCACCTTGGGACCTGAAGGGCCAAGAGAGACCTGAGGGGACAGAGGAGAGAGTATTTTTACACTTCAGAGAGGAAAAATAAAACCAAAGGTCCAGAAAGGGCAAGCAATTTAGCCAGGGTCACACAGCCTGGCCTCAATCCCAGCTACTGTTTTACCTTCCAGGTCAACCAGCACACTGACTCAACTTCCTAAAGCTGTAAAATGTATGTGCTTCTTTTAACCTGTCTGACTTTGACTGTCTTTGCCCCCCAGTTACTAGGAAAATATGGCTATTCAGTTGCTGTGGTAACCACTGCACATCTGGGGAACATTAGCCTTACCATTTGGATGGGGACTGAGAAAGGGGCAGGCAGAAGAGGGGGACTTGCTCATGTTCCCCATGGTCAGGAGGCTTGGAGATGAGGGGGATTGGGGGTGTGTGCTCTGCTTGGATCAACATGAGATGTCAACTCAGAATGTCAGGCTGTGGGAACATAGTGACTCATGATGCCCATGTTAAGAGGCACAGTTGGGTACCAGCTGGGCTTCCAGTGAGCCCCTCTGTCATGGTCATTGTGGACCCCCAAAAGGAGGCTGGACCAGGGCCAACTCGAGAGGGGAGGTGGGGGAATATGCTCAGGCTTGGAGCCACCATGTGGTTTGGGGGCCAGTGTGGGCTGTAGAACTCTGAATCAGACCTTCCCCATCTCTAAGCCCCCATGATGACACTTGAAACCTTCCAAGCATAGCAGACCTGAGTCCTTGTAGAATCAGCAACTAAGTCCTGACCCTGCTGGACCACCACCCACCATCACCCACCCAGGTCACAGAGCATGAGGCCTCCTTTCCTGCAGCCCTGGCTTGGGGGGCTGGGGGTAAAGCTTAGCTCTAGAGAATGGGCCGAGAGGGGGGCGGGTCTGAAAGTGGACAAAGACCCTCTTGTCATCAATCAGGAATTTGCCACCCAACCTGCACCACGCCCACTTCTAGCCTTGCCTGCTCAGATGCCCGAGCTCCGCCCACCCAGCCAGCAAACCCTTCAATCACTCACATTGCTCTCCCGGGCACCATGGATACAGGGTGGACACTGAAAGGGAAGAGCAAAGCTGGAAGGTCAATTCTGAGCCCCTCATGCTGTCCGCATGCTGCCCAACCCCACAGAACATCACATGTGCTCTGGGTGGAATGTGAGGCAAGCATGAAGACAAGAATTTGTTGTTGTTGTTATATGCCGTGGAGTCGGTTCCGACTCATAGAGACCAACTCATAGGTTTCCGAGGCTGTAAATCTTTATGGGAACACAATGCCTCATCTTTCTCCCGCGGAACAGCTGGTAATTTCGAACTGCTGACCTTGTGGTTCGCAGCCCGATTAGTAACCACTACGCTACCAGTGCTCCTTGAATACTGAACGCCAACTCCCACCAACGCAAATCTAGAGCCATCTTTCAGATGAGGAAACGGCAGGCTGATGAGGTCCAGGAGCCAGGGTTCTGGGTTTGAGACCTGGGCTTTCCCCATTATGCTCATGGCTGATGGCCATCAACTCAGCAGGACCATACAGGGCTAGCCGCCCCCTCCAAGGAGAGGCAGCAGTTAAAGCCCAGCATCAGGCTCCCAAGGAAGGCTGGGCGATGTGTGGTTATCTGGCCACCCCATGCTTGGTATCCAGTGTCACAGAACCTTGTCAAAAATATTCATGCAGGCACCTCCTCACCCTAGTCCTTATACCAGTCCAGATGGGGGCTTACCTCATCAGCTGCTGACTCCCGATGGGCCTGGGAAGAGGAAGAGCATGGGAATGGGCAGGAAACCCAGCGTCAAACACTGCTTCCAACACCCCATCCAGAACCACTAGAAGTGGGTGCCCTAGATGTGTCTGACTTGCACCCATTCATGCTTCTTTCTCAGAGCTGACACCTACACATCCTAAGTCCTGCGCAGGAGTACAGCGAGGGTAGAGTCGAAGCTATATTCAAGGGGTTTAGAGAGGACTGAGGAAGCCTGGTGTGGCACTGTGGACTAATGCGCTGGACTGCAAAGTTGGTCTGAACCACAAGGTCGCCAAATCATGCTCACCAGCTGCTCCTTGGAATCCCTATACAGTGTCGCTATGCGTCAGAACTAACTTGAAGGTACTGAACAACAACACAAATAGCTGAGGGGGCAGAGTGAGAGAGCCCCACCACCACCATCTCTACCTTAGCTCCCCTTTCTGCCTTCTGGCTGATTCTTCCCGACAGCTGGGCATCCACCTGAGCAGACAGAACAGAGGGAAGCCCTTGAGGAGGGGGAAACTCTGGGGCCCATGCTGGAAAGGGGCACCCAGGCAGAGGTCAGGGGCCCCACTACCCCCTCAGTCTGACACTGGCGCCTCCCCCCACAGGCCCCCATCCTTCTTCTTCCTTACCAACCCCTTCTGCTTCCCCCCACCCACGTGATGTTGGAGAAAACAAGACCATGAATCAATGAGAGCCTGTGTTTCTGTAGCCAAAGGCTGGGCATGATGCCCAGGTGGGCAGAGAGACTGCCCAGCCAGAAATGGAGCTAAGAGAAGACTGGATCTCCCTGCCACCCCAAAGAGCTGGACATGGGCAGGGCAGCTGGCCATGGTGCTGGGCATGGAATAAGCCTGGCATTGGTCAGGGATGGACCCAGGAGAATGGACAAGTCCTGTGCAGGGAGCAGTATGGCCTAACCTCTGACCTCAAGTATCCCTGTCTTGGTGGAACTGCTTTGGGGTGCAAGCCTGTTCTTGCCCTCATCAGATGGGTGTGGGGTGGCAAAGCTAACTGGGCATGACTCTCAATGCCAACAGTAGGTGGGCAGTCTCCCTGGATCCTGTAGCAGTGGTATGCACATAAGGGGGGCGCTACGTGACCCCGGTGGCAGGGCTAGTCAGACCAGAGCAGGGCAGAGTCACTTGTGCTTGCCTGTGCCTACATCTGCCAGCTCCGCCCACTCACCTTGCTGTTTTGTGGTTCTTCCAGGCAGAAGCAGCGGGTGTAGACCTTGCCCTCAGTCTGCGGATTGATCTCGATGAGCTCGTTGCTCTGGGTATCCCGGCGGGCCTTGGAAGTCTCTGGAGGACACTGCCCAGAGTGGGAGAGAAGTGGGTCAGTACAGAGGGCAGACACCCCTTTGCCCATTCATGCTGAGATCTCAAGGCATTCCCTTCCTGGCTCCACATCTCCAGCATCCCATGACCCTGGGCATTGCCCCCTAGAATACCATTCAGACCACTCACCCCTTCGGGTGAAATCTCACAGCAGCCCTCCTCCAGCACAAGCTCTGGATCGCAGTAGACATGTGCCTGCTGAAGGTCAAACTACAGGGGACATGCAAGGTCATTTCAGTTCAGTTTGTCAGATAGCTCTGTGCTCAGGGCTCCAATGAGGCACAGAGACGACCCCACCCCAGGTTTTCACCTTGTTTCGTTGTGTGCCATCAGATTGGTTCCTAGCAACCCTGTATAGAGTTTCTAAAAGTAGCTGGTGGGTTTGAACAGCCAATCTTACAGTTAGCAGTCCAGTAGTTATCCTACAGCGCCTCAGAAGGGGTCAGGATTTGACCTTAGGGGGAAGACAGTAAATACGCAACTATCCTAGAACCTGGGTGGGCACGTGGTTTGTGATTGGCTGCTAAGCCAACCAGCAGCTCTGAGGAGGAAAGGCTTAACAAATTGCTTCTGTAAAGAGCCTAAGAAAAACCCTATGGAGCGAGCTCAGTTCTACTCTGTAACACACGGGGTCATCGAGTCAGGGGGTGACGCAATAGCATCTAACAACAAGATGGATTCATGTCACAGCTCAGCTAAAACAAAGACACAGCCATCACCAAAGGCAGAATGAAACTGATGTGCAGGACAGAAGAATAAGACAGTGGAGAAGAGGAGGGTCCGGTCAGGCTGGGCAATGAAAGGCAGTCCCAGTGGAGGCGGCATGGAGGTGTGAATGAGTTGGGTGCACTAGGTCAATAGGATGGATTGACTAGAGCAGAGGGACCAGATCAACTCAAATGCCAGATTAATAAATTTAAACTTTATCTGGAGGGAAATAGGGAGCCACAGAGGATTCTGGTCAGAAAGGGCTCCAAGAAGCTCATTCAGACTTCCAGAAGATGGGAGCAGAGGCCAGGGGATGACCTACTACTCACAGAGACGGGCTTCCCCTGCTCAGCATCCAGGCCCAGAAATACATGGCCCACAGGCCGCAAGGGTCGCCGGGGCCCCAGGGGCTGGGAGGAAACTGAGGTACAGTCCACATGTACAGAGACCACACGCCCAGCCACACTCAGCATCAGCTTGTGCCAGCGCAGGTCGAAGAGCTGGGGCACTGGGAAGATGCAGGACACGAAGTCGCCATCTTGGCCCTGGGCCCGAAGCTCTAGGCTCCGCTCTTGGCTGTTAACTTCCAGGGAAATCTGTGTGGAATCAGGAAATGGGGTAGGACAAAGAATTAGGGCCTCTAAACCACAGTATGGCAAAGCCAAGGGTCTTCAAGCTCAGTTCAAAGGAGAGGAAATTGAGGCTCAGAAAAGGGAGGAAGGCACTGGGGTCGCAGTGCAGTACATATTGGAAAAATGGACAGTTACTAGAAGTGGACTTGTGGGCAACCACCAGCTGGACTAGAGGTCAGTCTGCACCCATGCTGCCTGATGCACCAAAAGGCAATTGGGGTGAGGGCTGGGGATGGGCCCAGTGGGCTCACCTGTGGGTAGCCGTCTCCATCAGTCACTTGAAACAAATACCACGTATTCTGGTGAGTGTGTTTCTTCAGCATTAGTGTCAGCACCAAGGCAAATTCATCCGGGAGGCCCCGAGGGAATACTCGCCTGGGAGTGAAGCAGGAGGATGCTCTGAGGCCCAGATGAGGGGGTTACCTGTTACCTACCTAGGTCCTCAGATCTGCTGAGCCTACACAACGCACACACAGGTACACATGTGCTGACACACATTCATTCTACATACATGTACTGAGTGCTGACTGGGCACCAGACATGGCTCTGGCCCCTGGAGAAAACAGTGGTTCAGAGACAGAGAAGGTGTGGCCCATGTGACACCTTCAGTGTGATGACAGGGACAGACCATAAGTAAAGAATTCCCCAAATGACTATTTCATGACAACTGTGGTAAGGTGTCCTGGGGAGAGTCACAGGGGACTGGGATATAGGGAAAAGTGTCTCAGAAGAAATGATGAATCGGGTAAATCATTGGGCTGTTTCTAAAGAGACGAAATGAGGGAAGGGTAAGCTGTCCTGGGAGAGGAAACAGCATGGTGAGCTCTCCTGTGTGAGGAAATGGAGCTGAAAAGTCACAGAGTGGCCGCAGCCTGGTTACAGGAGCAAACAAGAAAGGGGAATCTTTTGGAAGTTGAAACTGGAGAGTTTAGGAGGGGCCAGGCCACCTGGGGACTTGTGAAAGTTCCGACTTTACACACGCACACACACTGAGACATACACATGCATGCACACACTCAAGATATGTGTGACTCTTGTCAGGTTTCCACTCCCATCCTGGAGTTCCCCAGGCTCATAGGATACAGACCTGTCCTCACCCACCACTAACCAGCAGCACCCCCTCGCTGCCCACCCTACAAGCCCCAGGGTGGAGGCCGGGCTGACGTGTGGCAGGGGAAGGAGTGAGGGGTGCACAGAAGTGTTTCTGGGCTTAGTTAGACCCCACTTAGTCCAAAGTTGCTGGGCTGTGTGGCTCAGGTTGTACTGACTCCCAGTGATCATGCTGGGTCTTTACCGCATGGGCTGGGTTAGTGGGGCTGCCCCCAGCCTCAGAATGAGAGGCCCCTTGGGGTTTCGGATCTTCTTGATGGCAGACGTCTTCATGAGGTTGAGTCGGCGGATGAGGTTGAAGCCTTCGGGGGAGACACCAGATGGAGAGCTCAGCTGGGCAGGTGAGGAGGGCATCGGCCACTCCAGAAAGAGGTGGAGAGGGGACAGTGGCATGAGACAGGCACTCACCTGTCACATTGGATGATAAGTCACTGCTGTGTTCCAATTTCAGCCCTTCCTGCTGCGAAGGTGGGCACTGCTCACCTGGAAGGGAATTGGCAGGTAGGCATCAGGTGGGCTCAGGCTGAGGTAGCTGCAGAGCCAGACTCTTAGGGAACCTGAGAAGAAGCAAGTGCTGTTTATACCTACTTGTTTTCGGATCCTGGCTACTGGGGGAGCCAGGAGGACCCCCACTCTACAGATAGATGAGAAGACTGAGGCCCTTAGATTAAAGCCTGGCTCAAGGCCACCAAGTGAGTCTACCACAGAAAAGGAACAGCAGAGCTCCTGGAACCCTGGTCCCCTAAGAACCCAAGGCAGGGGCCAGGCAAACAAGAGAGAGAATGTCAGTGTTCTAGGCAACCCGAGAGCTCAGCTATATATACTTGTACTCCTTCCATGAACGCACACTCAGGTGGGCAGCAGAGAAGCACTTGGAGAGCAAGAAAACATTAGGTTTATGTGCAGTTGTATTCTTTACAGTTACATGTGCATGTCTGTACGTGTGTGAGTTATAGGTTCTCCATGCCACCGGGAATGCTGTATGTAGCTGGTAAATGTGTTCTCAGTGGTGGGTGGGGCTCAACTTCCCAAATCTAAAGCAGACAAGCAAGACAGACACAAGTCTGAGCCAACAGAATGGCTTTTCACCTGGATAGCTACCTCGTGAAGCAGTGAGGAGAGACTGAGGGTCTAACGGGTTTACAAACTCAAAGGAATCACCAGGGCCTTGAGATTCTCTCCAGATAGGGCATATTAAAGAAACAAGAACTTCTGGAGACAAGGATAACTAAATACACATCTCTAAAACCCTGAAGGGATAGGTGGGCAGACTTGAACCTGTCTCCTCCCAGCCTGGGGCTGACTTTGGGGTGGGGATGGGGGGGGTAGTGCTTCAAGAAGAGGAATAGAGACTAGAACCAAAAGAGCCTTCCCATCAATGTGAATATAGTAGCTGGGACAAGACAGTGAAGACAGCACCCAAAAGCTAGGCATTAGACTCCCTAGATGGCCTGGCAGGATGAAGGAACCCTGGGTTTCTGGGCCCATGACCCCACTGGAGTCTCCCTCCTCCAGATCCGGCCAAAAAGACCATCAACTGTCTTCAGCATCGGCAGCAGCAATGGGTGACTCACCCATTGGCCATGGGCCCAGATTCTTTACAGATGTTGAAATTCTCTGCCCCAGCCCCCCCCCCAGGGGACCTGGTGAGAGTGAGGAAAGCAAGGCACACACATGCAGATACAAATATGTGCACACACATGCATCACACATGACGCACAGGCCATCATCACATGCACCCTGGGAGCACACCCCTCTCATCTGTACCGTAGCTTCCTGCCTTCTTTTGTTGGATTTGAGTTCTGGGAGTTCTGTTCCTATTCAGTTGGACTGCTGAGTTACCAAGCTGCCCAAAAGGCACCCAGCAGGGCTGGGCAAGGTGCCCGGTCAACTTCCCCTGGCTTTGGGCCCTGGAAAGCTGCACCCTGTTTCTCATTCAGAGTCTGGGCCCTGGGGTGGGCCCTTTATCAGAGATCCAGGGCCAGGCATGGAGGAGGGGGAGCCTGTGGGGGTTTCTTCACCATGAAAAGGGTTGCAAGGGCCTGGGCTTCATTCAGGACACAAGGACCCCTCATTGCCTGCCCCTTCCCACCCCACCCTAGCCTTCAGAACACAGGCTGGGTATATGTATTGGGACACAGGAAAACATACAGATGCACAGAGAGACACAAAGATGCATGCATGGAGATCCTCAGAGACTGACACACACAAACTTACCCTAACACAAACTTATATATTCCAACACGCTAGACCACCCTGAATCAAGACCCCAAACTCTCCCACATGACCCAAAGGCAGGGTCATTTAAGTGCATAGGACCTCAGGACCCCAGGACTATCAAGAGCCTCTGGCACCCTAGCCCTCCTGTGTCATCTCACCTGTATGCGCTCCATGGCTGCAGGTGGTCCAGAGACCAAGCAGCCACAGTCCGGGCGCCCAAGATGCCCACATCCTGGTCCAGAGAGGTCGGCCGTGGCCGCAGCACCTGAAAACCACAGAGACTGGAAGGTGGATTCCTGAGTAAAAATACAGCACAACTCCACAGGTCGATGAGAAGCAGCCAACCCATGGTGCCCAGACACTGGTATCAGGAGGCAGGAGGCCTGGTAAGGCCTCAGTCCCTCTCAGAGGCCCAACCACAGCCCGGAGCAGACTGCTGCAAAAGTACAAACTGAACCAGTGGAGAGGTTTCAAGGATCCAGGAAGGACAGGGTAGTTGGAATAGTGAGAGGGGGGCTTAAGGTCGAGGTTGTTTACGAAGACATTTGGAACTACATTTCAGTACTTTTAACAGCCTGTGTACTTATTGGTATATACCAATCTGGTACCTGGCCAGCTGTACTCAGCTCAGCCCAGGCAACCCTGCCAGGTAGCCACAAAACCAGAGGCCACTGACTGAATGACTCTCCTTGCAAGAATCACAGAATGTGTGTGGACCAAGGACGTTTTCCCATAAGCACAGTGGGCAAGAGAGCAGGTCACCAGGGCTCAGGACCTCGTCGCCAACCCCTCCTGCTGATGGATGCTCGTCTTTTAGTTTTATTAAACTCTGATGGATGGACCCAGATAAATCAATGCAGGCTCAGTAGCCGCCAGCAGAACCATACATCATCTGGCCTCCCCAGGGACAGGTGAGTCAATGAGCACACACAGAGCCATGGACATGTCCACAAGACACACAGATACACAGGCATATATACACAGAGACACAAATGTGCCAGTGTGTGCATGTGAGCATGCTCCAACACACAGAGAAGAATGCTCACCAATATATGTGAGCATATCAGCTTACCCATACACACATGCATACAGTCAGCCTATGCATACCACTCTGTAGACCTTCTTATTGGGAAGTTCTTATGCAAATCTGACCTCATTCCTTCCTGATGTAATAGAATCCTAGTTCCCCTCCCTCAGTCTTGAGTAGGGAATGAGGTCAGAAAGAACACTGCATCCCAACATATATAGAAACAGGACTCCAATCCCCTCTTCTCAGAAGAACTGGGCCCCACACTACTCAGTTTCTATCCTAGTATCGTGCACAATCCCATCTCTCAAACCCTATCCTGGCCTCTCCTCGGCCAATGGACAAGCTGCCAGCTGTGGAAGGCATGTGGATGCATGTGTAGGCGTGAACATGGATGTACTCGTGTCCCTTTCTGACTTCCGATCTCTGGTCACCATTCCCCAGGTCCCCACCAGGGTCGGGGGCTACAGGGAGATGGGAAGACAAGCTTCCCAGATGATCATCCATCACAGAGGGTCAGAGAGACCGAGGGCAGGGAGAGTCAGAACCAGATGGAGCTTAGAGCTCATCTACTATAGAGGAGGTAACTCCTGCCCAGAAAGAAGCGTCTTGGCCCAGGTCACACAGCAAGTCAGGGGCAAAGGGGACCCTGTAACCCAGAACCCCAGAGCCAGCTCTCTCCACCCTCACTTACCGGTGCCCAAGAATCCCCACCTTACTGAGCAATCCAGGCACCAAGAGCACGACAGCCAAGGGAGGCAGGACTTGGGTCCCTCAGATCCGCCCAGCGTCCTCGATTTCCCCAGCCAGCGTGGGTTCGCAGCTTCCCGGGTCCCGAGTTCTGGCGGGCCGAGTGCTGCCCGGCGCACGCCTGCTCGGGACTGCCGGCCACGCCGGGTGGGGGGAGAGGGGGCGGTTCCAGGGGGTTGGGGGCCTGCCAGGGCCGCTAATGGAACACAGCTGGATCGGCCCGCCAGGCAGAGAGGGCGGGAGGGCGGAGAAGGGGGCTCCGGAGGAGGTAGCAGAGGCAGCAGGACGAGCAGCCCCGCTCCAGGCCGGGCGATGCTCTCTGCCGGGCCCGCCCTCCCACTTCTCCGCCAGGTGAGCGAGCGAGTGAGGCGGGACCCTGCGTGCCCAGAGCTGCCCTGGAAGGGGGCTCCGGCCGGCGGGCGGGCAGACAGGCGGGTGGGGAGGCCCGGCCCTACAAGAGCCAGGCCTGAAACTTGAAAGGCTTCCCTTAGTCACCCCTTCACCTTCTCTGGACCGGCCCCCACCAGGTTGGGGAAGGGGGGAGTGGCGGGTGAAGACCCTCCCACGCCCAAGTTGCGTGGCACTTGTGACGTGTCTGCCTTCCAAAGTTCCGTGGTCAGCCTAACATTTCCAGCTCCTTAGCCTAACATTCCTAGTCAGCCTGTGTCTCTGTCTGTCTGCGCTGGCAGGAAGAGAGTGTGTGTGTGGGGGGGGGGGAGGGGGAACTACAGGGAAGGGGGCCCGGAGAGTGCTATATTAACTCCTTCTCTCTGGCCCAGGGACATTGAGATGAATTAATCCGTTTATTCCTGCTTACGCTGTAGGATTAGAAGGTTCAATGACCTGTCCTTCGTTCTAGTTCTGTGACTATGAACTTATTATTTATTTGTGCTTTCATTTTAATCTGTAAAATGGGATCATGACAATATTATGCCTCAGCGTTGCTGTGAGCAGGAAATGAGTTTAAGTGTGTAAAAGTGCTTAAAATAGCCTCTGGCACATGTTGTTATCAGTCGGTTCTGACCCATAGCAACCCTGTATAGGGTTTCTGAGGAACAGCTGGTAAGCCTGAACTACTGACCTTGCAGTTCAAACGGCTTTGTAGTCTGGCACATTAACTCACAGTACCACACCAGGACTCCACAAAGACCCTCAATATTCCCTGCTATTTATCACCATTATTGCCATCCCTAGTGGTGGCGGGGTGTTCCATCTTGGATTCTACTTTAGACATTAGTGATGGGTTGGGGATTAATTTATGCTCAGGGTCCAAAGAACTAAGTAAGAGGAACTGAGGTTTGATGAAAGATTGGACTTCTGAGGAGGAGAGAAGGTAATTCTAGTTCTGCCCAGAGGTTGAGGGATGACCCAGATGATTCTCACAGACGTCTCCCCTTGGAGGCAGCAGATTTCTATACACTGGTGCTGAAGGACTATGGATAAGTAGTTCCAAGAATCCCATGAGTGGTAGAATTGGGTGTGAGGATAGAGAGGGGAGCAGCTGGGGTGCTCTGAGCTGGTTGGGGGGGGTAATATAGTGGTAGGCCTAGAGCTAACTGATTGGGATGGGGGAAGACCTGGATTCCCCCCAGTTCTGGGCCCAGAGGTGCTGAGTCAGCGGAAACCCTGACCATGACCACAGAGGCGCCCCAATGTGGTCCCTGCTCAGAATCTGGCCCAGATGTGGTGGCGGGGCTGGGAAGTGCTGAGCTCAGCAGTCGGGAAGTGAAGGGGGCTGGGCCTTCTGGGTGCTCTGACCTAAGGGGTGAATAGGCATAGGCTAGAGCTGTGTTGGAAGAAGTAAGTGCAGCCACAGAGTCTGCTTTTTTGAAGCCAGGATGGCCAAACTTCGTCTTTCATACTTCAGACATATTGTCAGGAGGGACTAGTCGCTGGAGAAGGATATCATGTTTGGTAAGGTGGAGGGTCAGAGAAAAAGAGGAAGACCCCCAGCGAGATGGATTGGCCAAGTGGCAGCATCAATGGGCTCAAGTGTAGCAACAATTATGAGGTTGGTCCAGGACCGGGCAGGGTTTCGTTCTGTTGTACATAGGGCAGTGTTTCTTTCTGCTGTGCATAAGGTCACTATGAGTTGGTACCAACTTGATGGCACCTAACAACAACAACAGGTCTACCCATATGTTAACTTCACAAATGTTATTTCCTTTAATCCTTGCAACCCCATGAGGCAGAATTCTATTCTTAGCCCCATTTTATAGATGGGAAAACCTGGAACATAGGAAACTTGCAACTTGCCCAAGGGCACACAGCTAGGGTGTGCCGTTTGGAGCCACACGCAGTGAGCCTAGATTCCCTTGTAACCACTGTACCATCCTGGGTACTTCCCACCCTCTTCCGTTTTTATCCTAGACCTCCTGGGTTCTCCAGGCAGGACGGAATGGCTAGGCTCAGAGCAGCCAGAACTAACGATGGAGGATTATGAGAAGAAAGAGCCCAGATGTTTTCCCATAGTACCCCAAAGGTGCTAAAACAGTCATACCGTCTACCTGGATATGCTATCATAAACACAATACAGAAATGTGCTCATTTCCCTTCCTTCTTCCAAGGGACTTCAAAAATTTGTGGGAAAATGAAATTAAAAGATAATGCAACTTTTCCACAAACTTTTTGGAGCCCCCACATATTAGCACATATAAATTCACAGAAATAGACAACTATTCCCTGGACATACCCAAACACAGAATAGGTGCCTAATTCTCAGAATGTAGATACAACACTTCATGTTCTAGTAAATACACATATGCACACATAAGAAGCACATATGTCCCCACATGTGTAACTACTCATGCATGCAAGCACAAGGAAACCTGCAGATCTGCAGCATATACACTGGCCCCCATGGAAGCACCTACTCAGGCATGCATATACTGACACACCTATCCATATACAATGGGGCTTTAAAGAGTTCATGGGACAATTCCGTTATCTTTTCATTCATTTTCCACAGACTTTTTGAACCCTCTCGTACATGCATGAAGCTATGCTGACACATTTACATGCATCAGCCACAGAGAACTCTGCACACCAGCAAGCAGGGTATCCCATGGGGCTGGGCTCAGTGCCCTCACCCCAGATGGCATCGCCACGAGGTAATCAACGCTGCTAATCGCCGCCAGCTGCCCTGGAGCCTGCCTGCAACTGCCAGGCGGGGCTGCCAAGGTCTCCTGGGGCTGGGGTAGTATGCCCAGATGCCAGGCAGTGCCCAAGGGCTCACCCACCCTACTGCCCCAGCTGGCCACTGGGGAATCCCCATCTGGCAAAAGCAGCACCTGGGAATGGGAAAGGGTGCAGAACCAGGGCCTGTTTCCAGAACAGGCCTAGGAGCCCCATCCACCCAAGCAGAGGCAGTCTGAAGTTCATGGCCAAGTACAACAGACCTGGACCACATATACAGAGACATACACCTGGGGACAGGTGCATATGTACACAGGTA